ACCAACAAAAGAGGTATGTCATTAAAAATGTTTACGTTACCTTCTGTTAAGTGTCTTTTCATCTTTGAAGTTTACATCCTGGTTTTCTAGGGGCAAAACACTAATAAATCTAGATTCCAGAATAAAGAAAACGGCAACAAACATAATCCATATATACACCGCATGACGCAACCGCAAACCAGACATGGTAAAATACTTTTTGAATACCAGAAAAATGGTACGTTTCCGGTTAACAAGATTAAACAGGCTTTACACATAAGCGTCTGTTATTTATTTGAACTCCTCAAAAGAGAATTAGTAGCAGGTGTTCTTTAAATAGTAAGCATTCATCAATAGAATTTCACATTAGAATATTCCATATTCCATATTATGATATTCCGCTTTGGGTTACTTTGCATTGGGTTCTTCCGTGGTTCACGTTAAGGCGTTACACGTTATATAGGTTAATGTCACATTAGAATAAAAAGTTATTTTCGGTAAACCATTTTGTATTATGCACCCAACATTATGTTTAATGTAACACATACACACATATTCTTAGCTTAAATCTTAGATTCCGCAAATTTCTTGTAAATAATGTTTTAATTTTCAAGGGCTCGCTGTTTTCACTTATAACGTTATATTTTATTTCTTTATCCAGCGATCAAAAAAGCTTACATGCGCATGCCTTCTTCTTTCTGGAAATTCTCAATAAAATGTTTTTTAATATTTATTCAGATGTTGAAAACAATCCATAATCGTTCGGTATATAGATCCAGTGACAGCTCAAGTCCAACGTGATTCTCGGAAGGTATTTTGCATAATAATGAACGGTTATAAACGTCATGCACCTTCAAGACTTTAATTAAATGCCTTTCATAAGATTTCATTTATTTCACCTTACATGTGTGTTTATATATTTGGAATCGAATTTGTCGTGCTACAGGATCAATATAAATTATATATGTTCAAATAAGATTCTCCTTTTTCTACAACTTACTGGTAAATAATACATGTAAAACCAACATCTGCTCGACGTATAAAAAATAAATCAGCAAATTCTGTACGGCCCTTAAAGAAACAAATCATGTTAGCAATCGTTGCTATATAAATTGGAACTTTTCAACTTGTTAAGATCATTTTAAAGTGGATGGGGAGCTTTGAATTTCATTTCTTCGATTTTCCACCTGTTTGGGAGAAATCTGTAATTTCAAAAACTTATAACTTCATATTAAACACATACGTTGCCCGGCAATGAAGCATACTACCCACGAGCAGGAACATAGTCCTAGCCAAGTAAACAGCGGTGTCAGGCAACATAAATACGAGGACCTGCCGCTTTGGGAATTTCAATTAAATTAATTTCAAGTAAATGATATATTACATGGTCCCTAACAGTACCATTTGACATTGTGTCTGAAAAAGCAATATTACACCTTTAAAGGAGCTAAATCTGAATTCTTTGGCACCTGAAAATGGACGCAAATGAGTCGCAAATAATAATGTAATATGAATATACATAAACTTATTTACAATCAATCGTTTCTGTTTTTACTGTAATTCCTAATCAGTTATGTTCGGCGAAATACGCGAAGAGTCCAAATTGAATGACAGTCTTTAGCGTCTGGTTATTCAAGTCTACACCGGTAGAATTCTGATGTTGGATATGTTTAGCCTAATGAATCGCTTCATTACAAATGGCGCTCGAATGCATTCTGGCACGTAATTCGTGTGCCAATTTTAAAATTTATATTTTGTCTTAAACATTGGATATTAGAAGCCCATCTCTTCACGGTAGGACAACAATGTTGATTTAAATTGACTTATAAGTCGTGTTTGCAATGTCGAGACTGTGGATGATATTGAGTTAAAGACTTGCCTCCATTAACCAAGTAAATGGGGACGATAAAATTTCCTACTCGTACTGCCATTATCAACCTCATCCTCGGTATCCTAGGAGACATTGTCTGTGATATAAGTGAAGTGGGCGTAAAGCTCCAGAAGAAGAAATCAAATTAATGAATGGTTGAATTTCATTTGGATGCCCCCAAACCATTCATATAGTTATAAAAATGTCAAAAACTCTCTTAAAGATTTTTACAAGGTTTCAGTGACACTATGTGAATTTGACTTTCGATAGAGTTCAAACAATCACTTCAAGTTTGAGAAAACGAATCTAAAGAATGTTTACAAGGTTTCAGAGACAGGGGCAATAACACTGTAAATTCAGTGTGCAACTCTGACTTTTAATAGGATCCCTCCTCACTTCAAGGTTTCAGAGACAGGGGCAATAACACTATAAATTCAGTGTGCAACTCTGACTTTTAATAGGATCCATCCTCATGACTAGCGGAATAGTCTCAGTAAATTTAAATAGTCTGATATAACAGCTTTACAATGGCAATTACTTTGCTTAAAATCGACGAAAGACTCTAAATATCGAAAGGGTTTCTATTTATGATTCCTCCTTATGATAGATGCGTGAAAGGTCCCGCAGTGATTGGATGTCGTATACCAAGACCGATCTTATTTGTCAGGTATATTTTATTCGGGACAAACACAAGTACACAATAACACAACAAATAAATATCGAATCACACAAATATGACTTTGGGGCGGAGGAGACTTGCCGGGCTATAGTAAATCGATTTGGCAGTGCCCAAGTTTACACTCACCTTTTAATCTAATTTATTTTTGTACAACTTTACCCAAATTCTCAAATTGTAATATAAGATGCAGCACAGCTGATAACTATCAGGATCAATGAAAACTCGTACGGAAAAAAAGCATGATACAAAAACAAAATGAAGACCCAAGAATCTCACATACTGAACTGAACTCATCCAGTTTTCTTTTGCTTCACAAATGAGATGCTAATCATGATTTTCTGGCTACATTACCATACAGCGTAATCATTGAAATATTGATTATTTTTTCTGACTTCACGGCGAAAAGGCAAATTTGCGAACGAAACTTCATTTTTCATCTTGACCAATCGTAAGACGTACAATATTTATATTGTATTCGTTGCAGTCGAAGCGGAGACCGGATAAAACGCTGTAACCTAGATCGACAACTGTTTCGGATCACGACTTGAAGTCTCTAGTCTCTCTTGCGAGGGACTATAGATATGGGATGTCTATCCAACCTTCTAGACCACTCGTTGTAAAAGTGGTTTAAATATCCGGGTATTGTTCTGGCTAGATCGTTTGTGTCAAGTGGTTAGGAATGTTCTTTTTCCAGTTTCACAGGTTAAAATCAAACAGGACTTAAGTTCCTTTAAAATCCGTTTATATAAAATTAATTCAGATGCATATAAAAGAAATGGGATTTAACGTCCTATGGTTCTGCCCCGACTGGGCCAATGAAGACGGGCGCACGCCATACAGTGTACCATGAGGAACATTTTATCCGGGATGTTGCGCTACGGCCTACTCTTATATCATATCTATCTGCTAGGAGTTCTTGCTAGGAGTTCTTTTACGTGTACACCAATACGGGACCTTGGGTTTTCGTCCCACCCGAACGACTAGTCGTTGTCCCTTGCCAGGCCCTTCGTCTTGCACCACTGACACGGGGGAACCACGCCGGAAAATCCAGCTGAGCTTTCTTGTCTGTGGACAAGTAATACATATGTTATACACCATTATGTTATACACCATAAGTGGTCCATCATCCCCTTATTTATTTCAGTTTGCAACCGAAATACCACTCTTTACAGACCTGAATTCCAATTAATCAGACTGTTGCAGCTGAATAACTACTAAAGATTACTCTGATTTTAAATGTTTTAAAGTTTAATTCTTTAGTCAATTAAAAGAGATTAAGATTCCCGAAAAGATGATGAAACAAATAATGATCCCGGAAAATGTCGCAGCTGAAAGGCTCTTACACCTATGCGGAATGGATGAAATAGGGTTTAACGTCTTACGTTTCTGTGCCAACCGGGATAATGAAGAAGGGCATTCTATGATACAGTGTGCTGTGATGGAAGTTATGCCCCTGAAAGCAATTATTGAATTCCAATTGTCAAGGGTTTTGTTATACATGCACGCCAACGCGTACACGGGACGTCGGTTTTCTGTACCATCCGAACAACTATTCGTTTTTTCTTGCCAGGCCCTCCGGCATGCATAACTGACAAGGGGTAGCCAAGCTGGAAAATCCTTGGGAACTTTCTCGGTCAACACCGGGATCGAATCCTGGACCCCCCGGTTAGTGTGACAACATGAATCATGCCCAAAAATATCCAAAATGTTTACATTAGCCCTTATTATATATAATTCTAATAATTTGAACAATATAATATAATACCATTATTTCCTTTTTTTAAAACAAACCTCGTAAATGTTTTACTCTTGCCATACACAATTTTGTCTCTTGTGTTAGCGCTGAACCCTCTGATTTTGCATTCGTCATATTTTTTTTTTAACTTGCTGCATGAGCTAAAATTGGATACCCAATTAAGGATGCATTGTGTAAGAGCTAAATCTCCCTATTGCAGGTCGTCTTTTTGGCTTCAACAGTAAACTATTATTCGGACATTTATTCACATGACAAGCCTGTAGCCTAATCAACTCTATGGACCATCGGGTGACGTCGATTTAAACGGATTAAAATACGGAGGCCATTTAATTATTTAATTTAAAAATGGCGAAGCTAGGCTAGTCTCGAATGACAAGTACCGTTGTTACGATAATAAGCAATCTATGCCACATCAAACGGCGATTGCTTCGCTCAGAATAAAGTAATTTGAATGAAATTTTCAATATGTATTATTCATTTTGCATTATCTATTTTTGAACTATTATAGCAAGAACGACCAGCCCTTTATCTAAATCTTCCACAATGCATTTTTAATGACCTCAGTATTCTTCTTTTTCTTGGTTTTAATTTCTTGGGAATGTTAATCTTTTAAAATGATTAACTATAAATAGTGTTCTATTATGTCTTGGTGTAGTCTATTAACGTTAATGCGTAAAAAAATTGGAGTTGTCTCCCTTGAACTCGAGAGAGTGCACGAGAATTCCGCCATATTGGCTGGAGAAGAAGGAAAACATTGGAAATTTATCAATTCAATCTTTAATCTTCAGGGCCAGAAATCTGGCTTTAAGCGTAATGCATGCCTCTTTCAAGCCCCAACAAGATTTCTTTAACTGAACAACCAAAAGTAGACGAAATTAGAGAGAATAAGCGCAAAAGAAACGACGAAAATAATCCCTCTCCTCCACTGAAAAGGGCACGAGAATTGGACGACCCAGCAAACATGACAGATTCTCAAAGAAAGCCCAATTTTTCGGCATTGACCACACCAAACAATGGCATCACCCGACATTCATCACCTCTTTCCAACAATAAACCCGGAGCAGCGAAAAAGTTGGTTATCAAAAACTTCAAAGGTGTTATATATTTTTTTTATTGTGTAATCCAGAGGCCTATCTTTCTGGTAGCTTTGCCTTTTTCTATTGTTTGATATTATTTAGCTCAGTCAGTCTAAATCTAATGTAGTTAGGTATATTATTGGGATAAATTTTAATTATGTTTTTGTCAAAACAAAGAAAGTTAAATCTTTAGGCTATCGGCCATAAACAGTGAAAATTAAGAAAACATTAGAATTTCTAGCAACAGCATGTGCTAACTAAATAAAAAAATGTCTCTACCAATCACCACACCTGGAACATGATTTCTGTGTTGATTACATCATGATTATGCCTCCAGTGGCCATCACATCTGTGGCAAAACATGATTCTGTTTCATTCCATTGCAGTTCAGTCGATTCGGTACAATTTTTGAGCTTCCCTTTTCTTTTTGAGCTTCCCTTTTCTTTTTGAATTATTATGCAAGATCAGATGTCAGTTGGATTACCTGGCTTATAGATAAAACTAATGAGATATGTGAACACCGGTTCGTATAGAACAGATGACCAAATACTACCCAATACCACCATTACCTCATAGTCATTATTGGGGAAAAATGACAGAATAATAGGCGTGTGTCAGGACCCCCGGACAACCCCCCCCCCCCCCCCCCCCCCCCCCCCCGCGCTTGTGCAGAGAAGTTTTTTTCTCTCCTACATTCATTTCATGGAAATAATGCTGTTTTAGCTCACTCTACTGTAATCCTATACAAGTATGCACCTAAATGAGCAGAAATGTTGTCTCAAAGCTTCTGAATTTATTGAATTCGCGGTTAGTTCCTCCAACCTTAAGCCAAACGTTGTCACCATCTTGGACCCCCTGCATATTGTGCATAGGCCATTTTAATTTTACATACAACCATTGGGTTGTAAATGAAATATAACCTTATGCCATATTTATTGTTTCATGTGAGATTGTTTGAATGTGGCATTTGTGTAGGGGCTTTTAGTTTTATACAATGCTCAGTTGAGTTTTCAAAGCTCTGATTGCCTCCCAATAGGAACATCACTATTCTCCAGTTTCCTTCCTACCGCTGATTATGAGCTTCAGAAACACTTGATTATTGAAAATTTTAATTACGATTTAGTCCCAAAATAACCCAGTCATGTGTTTAGAAGATATATTATACCCATTTCCTTTAATTTCCAGGGATGTAGCCACGCCGGGTGGCACTATTTTTTGCCCCCCAGCACAAAGAAAAAATCGAAGAAAGCCGCCCAGTCGTATTTAAACCCCTTCGCCCTTCTCAGTACACCAACTAAGCGCTTGAAATTTACCACGGCAAACGGCAAAGCCATGGTAAAAGCCGAAGCAAACCATGTCTGCCACGGCATGATTTATTTTTGTGTGCCGTAGTAGACTCTATCATCCCAAATTAGTTTAAAGAAAGAAGTATTGGTATTTTGTTTATTTATATTTAGAAGTTGTGTAGGTCTATTCATTTTACAATTCTACGGTCTTTAAATTTGTATATTTGCCGTAAATAGGTCACCCAGACCAATTTACGGCACTCCAATGTTAAAGGTTTGGATGTCGTAAATGGTGTCGTACTTTAGGTTTTACTATCCCCAAAATTTTTTCCGCTCGCTCTGCTTGGCAACTATTTTTTCCACAACTCTGCAAATCCTGGCTACATACTCTTGCATCTGAGCAGAATGAAATAAACATAAGCTTTTATGAAAGAAACGCCAAGAACTCCAAATAATTCTAATATTATTTTGTTACAGAAAAGCCAAAGATGCCTGAGAATTTCCAGCAAGAAACATGGAGGAAACTTTGTGAAGCTGTGGAAGCCATACATAAAAGTTGTTCAATTCGCTACAGTTTGGAAGAATTATATCAAGCTGTAGAAAATATGTGTTCATATAAGATGTCAGCAAATTTATATGAGCAATTGAAATTAGTGTGTGAGGCTCACGTGAGAACCTGTCTCGAACAGTTTAAAGCATATCCTTTTTGGAAAATATTGCATTTATCATATCATGTTACAAATCTTGAAATGCTGCGTACAGATTGTAAGACAAGAAATTAATGAGATAGAAACTAAAGGTGCTACATATCGGCAATCCAATTCTAATTACGCTACATATATTGTTTGCTTGTGATTAATTTAGATGATAATCACTAACAAGATTGAATTAATAATGGAAGTCTGAACCATTTTAAAACTAAATACATGATATATAGGTCGGATTGATTATAGCATGTGTTGATAATACATTCTTAAAGTTGGAAAAAACTTGTAAGGAATTCAAAACATATCGATATTTGAAACATTGGTGGGAAACTTATTTTGGATAGATAGATATAATTGTGGTAGTAAAGAATAAATCTTCTAAATAATTACACAATAGTTAGTGTAGTCAGCATGGGTTATAAAGTTGTTCGTTTAATATTTCCTTAAATGTATCACTGATAATTCAGATTATGAGCAGTTCTTAAAGTTACTTGACTTCTGTTGGCAGGCTCATTGTCGTCAAATGATAATGATAAGAAGTATTTTTCTCTTTTTGGACAGAACGTTTGTACTTCAAAATTCTACAATATTATCTATATGGTAAGTATAAAAATATTCTTTCTGAGAGGTTTTGAATTATCAGACTAATTTTATGCTCTCACATTTTAATGTGCTTATATATTGTCATCACCTTTTGAATCAATCTGTTTGTTGTCAACACTGTATCGTCTTCATTAGCCCAGTCGAAGCAGAACAGTACTACTAGGACCTTAAACTTCATTCCAATTGGTTAACATTGTAGAAACTACGAAAATAAGATTTTCAGCAGAGAACACAATTTTCATGGATGATTATCAAATTTTATTCAGCTTAATTAAAAGAAGAACTCTTTTGAAGTTTGTCAATTTCTTATGGCAACTTTTAGTCATAACCAAAGTCACGAATATCTTTATATTTCAGACTGGATCATTATGAAATTAGTGGTCATTAGTGTTGCTGAATGTATTACCGTTGTTACGAAAACCTCTGTTAAAATGTGTGTTGACTGCAAATTCATTGCTTTGAACTACTGCAGTCTTGAAATTTCCATTTTTGTTGTTTGACAAACCATCAGGCACTTGCTGGAACTGGATTTTCATTTAAAATATCAAAGAAAAGGCATAAGGAAAATGTGCCTGATGTGGCTGATTTCCTGTCTTGAGCACCACATGTAGTTAGTTAACTTAATCAAAGTCTTGTTATTTTAACAGGGATATGGGTTTAGATTTATTCCGTGCTAATGTGATAAGTGATAAAGTTGTAGAAGTGAAGACAGTGGATGGTTTACTGAGATTAATAGAACGAGAGAGAAATGGTGAAGCCGTTAATCGTCAATTATTAAAAAGTTTATTACGCATGTTATCAGATTTACAAGTAAGTTAGAAATATTTTGATACGTCGATCAAAAGTTAAAGAGACTGTCAGAAGTTAAATTGAATTGAAATGGATATTTTGCACAGATGCTGAATGAATATAAATGCTTGAGTTATGAAAAGATTCCAAATGCTATTTTGATTACTTTCAGATTTACAAGGAAGCTTTTGAGAAGAAATTTCTAGAAGCGACTGATAGATTGTATGCAGCAGAAGGACAACAATTAATGCAAGAACGAGATGTAAGTTATCCATTGTAAGGATCCTTTAAAGGCCATGGTAATCATATAGTGCTCGGCTAAGGTACTGTTTGATTGAATCCAGACAAGAAGAGCCGTCAGCATTTTTAAGCCTTGCTTCCACTTTTCCTAGTCTACTTTTCAGCCAGTATCACTGATACTCCTGGGTATGAAAAACCTATGTTCAAATTGTACACATTGGCAGTTTGAAATTGAAGTAGATGAAAAAAGCAGGGGCAGAGGCAGTATTGTCCTCCCTCGCTTTGCATATAATACTCTTCAAAAAAAGTAGGGGATGTTCAGAAACAATAAAAAACTGCAGAAATGCACTGTTGTTTTTGTTAGAGGTAACCAGTGTATGTTAATAACAGGCCAATTGTCTACACATGAAAATAAATAGTTCATATGGGCTGCTTATCTGCTGGCCAAATTTTACTAGTAAAGAGATGCACTGTCAAAAGTGAAAATGGACGTTTTTGATTTTTGTCTTAATAATGAGTAATTGCTCCACCAATCCTCAGACATTCAGCAATTTGTCGTGGCATGCTCCTAATCAACCGTCCAATCATGATTTGGGGCAATCTGACCCACTCCTCTTGCAGTGTTGTCGGTGGACGTTGACGTTGACGAAAATGTCTCCCGATCAAATTAAACGTAACACACTAAAGCAAAGATATGCTTAACAGTAAATCTTATGCAAGAACTGATATGAAAGCAAACATGGATAGGATAAACCAGCATGCAGCAGTTTTCATCAACCCTTCCTTGAAGTGTCAAATTTGACAATGAACCCCTCCCACGTGTATGGCTCTATTGCGTGTCGCAAGTGCAGCACAGTGGTTCTGTTGGGGCAATAAGTTCTTCATCTGTGAACATACTCTCAAAGCATGTCGAGTGTTCATGACTATTTATCATATCACAACCTGCATAGGTATTTGTATTTCAATATCCCCTACTTTTTTTGAAGAGTAGATAACAATAAAGATGCACTGTTCTCAAAATTATCTACATAATGTTTGAACATGACTTTAAAAACTCTTTTCCATTCCGGGACCTTCTGTTGTTATTATCAAATATGGTTGTAAAATATATTTACTTGCTTTAACTCTGGAATGACCTGGAGGTTTGACATCATAACGTCGTAAAAACCCATGCCATAATGGTCAATAGTGTTAAAGTATAGATATGCATTTTAAAGTCATATTATTAAAAAATATATCATGCAAAATTCATGTATATAATGTTTATTTCTATTTTTATGTTCGGCTTTTGTGAACTAAAAATCATTCATCATGAATCTCTTTTCATTTAAGCTTAATTGATTAAAATTTGTTGATTAAGCCTACTTCCATCACGTTCTAACGCAAAACTATAAATATCTACACCACTGATGAAATCTGAATCACTCATTCAATAATGATGGAAATGAAATGAAATGGGGTTTAACGTCCTACTGTTCTGCTCCTATGCTGGGCTAATGAAGACGGGCATACGCCATACAGTGTGCTATGAGGGAAATTTTGCCCGGGCAGCGGCACTTTCGCCTACTATTATATCAAATTCCAACTGCCAAGGGATCTTTTATGTGCATTCCAATGTATACACGGGACCTCGGTTTTTCGTCTCATCCAAAGGACTAGATAGCAGTCATTGTCAGACCTTCCGTCCTAGATCACTGAAAAGGGGGAACCACGCCGGAAAATCTGGATGATTTTTCTTGGCCAATGCAGGGATCGAACACCCGACCTCCAGGCTAGTGAGCCAGCGTCTTACCCACTTAGCCACGTGATCCCCCAATAATGATGGTAATCCGTCATTAGGAGAACGTTCTCGTATAGGACTAGACATATCACCGATTTATTATAATTTTTAAAGAAGAAACAGTAAGATTTTTAACTGTTAAATTGTCAAAAAGGAAGTAAACAGATGAGAAAAAAAAACGTCTGGTTATAAGGGAAGTAACTCTCATTGCGCTAGGAACGTTGCATTCAGCTAACTTGTTATGTTGACGAAAGTCGCTGTGGGTACTTAACAGTAATGTTATAGGTGTCGACAAAAGTCGCCGTGAATCAGTTAAGAGTTAAATGTATGTTAAATTGAGGTTAATTAGGTCATCATCTATTCCAACCTCAAAACCTAAAAATTGATAAGTGAGACTTTATTTCATATGATGGTCTGTAAGGGATGTAAGCTCAAATTAAATCTTTCTGTCAACCACAATATTTGCCAGCAAAGTAGTATTTTATTGTATTTTGTGTTAGTTCATATCAATAGTTATGTAGAATTTAAAACTTAGTCTCAAAGCAATACATGTTATTGAATACTGTTATAGCAAGAATTTATAAAAGTTGTATATTCAGCAAGTGGTACAGGATTAAGTCATACATTTTAAATTATTTAATGCAATGGATAAGTTGGATTGAGGATTTTAATGTCTGTTTTGTAGGTACCAGAATACTTACATCATGTTGATAAACGGTTAAATGAAGAAACGGAACGTTTATTACATTATCTTGATCAATCAACAAAGTAAGTTTCTGATATTCTATCCTTAAAACAAACATCTACTTACAAATACTTGTTATATCTGGAGAAATTGTTTAGAGTAATTTCCCTTTGGTGATCTACTGGAGTGAAGGTGTAGTAGTTATTGCTCGGATATACTGTTAATTTTCTGAAATTAATGATAGTTGTTTATAAGCGTAACATTGTATTTGTGGAATTATCTTTCAGAAAACCTCTGATAGCCTGTGTAGAAAAACAGTTAATAGATCAACATTTACCACAGATTCTTAATAAAGGTACAGTAAGCTTACATATTATATGTCTGTTAAATAGATTATCAATAGGTCTACTAGTAACATACTTGTTCCTTGGAGTTTTCTGTCTGAAAAATACTAAACTTACAGTAGAAATTAGGTTTAAGTTATGGTTGGGATATCAGAAATGGGCTGATGATTACCAAAGAAGATTGCAGCATTAAATCAGTGGAAATTGACTTTGATAATTTTGGGCTGTTGTCCTTTCTGAAGAGACTTCAATTAATTGTGTTTGGTCTGAAAAACTATATTCATACTTTATTCTTGGATATTAGGCTTTTAAAAACTATTTTTACACTTTTTGATTTGAATCTACACCAGGGCTCTTGTTCTCTCGTTTAAGTCAGATTTACCTGTCTTGGCTAACTGTCAGTGAAAATTACTGGCTAGAAAACTTAACCTGTCAATCAATCTAATTGCCATGAAATTAGAATTTCAAAGAATTTAGCCTGAAAACTAGAGCTGAGTGATAGTTCAGTTCTTCATGAAATGTTATGGAAAATAAACTTTAAAATATAATGCCATATTGGATCATTTAGCAGCAGTTTTTAGTCTCAAATTTATTCTACTTTATTGGCTTGTTTTCAAATATATGAGCTGTCAGTTTTTTTACATGTCCAGTACTATTTATGTTATTATAGGATTAGATAATATGTTACAAGAAAATAGAATAGGTGATTTGATGTTGTTGTATCAACTTTTCACTCGGGTAAATCATGGACAGAAAGATTTGTGTTCTATGTTTGCTGTTTATATTAAGGTTAGTAGTTACTTATATTATATGTATATAATTATTTGAGGTAGGCTAATGATGAAAACAGTCTTTCTCTTGGAACTCGGCAAATGTATCATGTTATTGAAATAAAGATTTCAGCTAGCACCACAATTTCTTTGCCAACATGGTTAATAGAATTATGGAGTAAAAATACCAGAGATTATTCGGACTACTTAAGCATAGGCAGCAAACCAATGAAACCAATCTCCCATCATTGCCATCATTGCTTTCAAGTGTGGCAGTATTAATAAGTTGATGATGGTTGTTACAATTGGTTTAGGAACATAATCAATTTGTCATTTTTCACTTAGATCAAAGATATGCTCTTTTTTTTTTATTAAGCTTGTATAATATTTTTTTGTGTTGAAATATGTCACTTTTTATTTGGATTGTCATTTTTATGATTTATATTGACTGTCTGGTATATTTATATAACAGAAAGCTGGTAGAATGATTGTGATAAATAATGAAAATGACCCAGATAAAGATAAAGAAATGGTGCAGAAATTATTAGGTATATTATTATAACCTTGCCACGTTTCCCTGGTAACATCTATTGCACAGATTTGGTTTTTATATGCCTGAATTTTATTCTCATTGTATAATTGTATATTATGGACTTGCTTTTCCTTTCTTTATAGGACTATATTTTAATGTGGTCATATATTTGCATATTATGGACTTTTGATTTTATAATCATTAGTACTATATTTTATTATTAAATAAATATTATAATTCTCTAGAAACATAAGAGAATTTTCAGCACTCGAATAGATAGCTCTATACCATGGCGCTTAAATTCAAGCTGCCAAGTACCTGCTCATAGAAAATTATTTTGTTAGTCTAAAAATGATCTTAGAAAAAGATTTGACATTATTAAACATCATTTCAATTTACAAAGTAATTTGGGTTAATACTGTCTTACTGGTTTATTACATATTGGTTTTTTTAATTTATCCTCCAATAGTCATAACAATCATTTGATGTTGGAGTGTTGACTGTAAATTTTTTGATTATGTCTCTTGTAGATTTTAAAGATAAAATAGATAATATTATTGACGTGTGTTTTGGTAAAAGTGAAAAGTTTGTTAATGCTATGAAGGAAAGTTTTGAAAATTTCATTAATCAAAGACAGAATAAACCGGCTGAACTTATTGGTGAGTGAAAATAATTGTGGTTCAATGTGAATAGCACTACATCTATTTTGTATCCTTGACTAATATTCAGATATTAAAACCAATGATATACATGTCAATTTATTATGCATTGAATTTAAATAAAAATATGGATAATTGTTCTACAATACAATATTTATAAATCATGATATCATTGCGAACACAGATCACACTTTAGAAGACTGAGATTTACTTATTAAGTGAATTAAATTGTATCTACCATGAATTTCCCATTGCTCATTTTTTATTTCAGCAAAATATGTTGACAGTAAATTGAAAGCTGGCAATAAGGTAATTTCTTTATTCATTAGTTTTGGATTTTTTTTGTTTTTGTAAATGTAAATACATATTTCATATAAATTGTGGTTAAATGTGTCTTTCAAGGTATTGTAAATATAATATTATTAATGTATGTGTGATGACAGAGTCTATTGGTACTGTTGTAGATATTTGCACGCATTGTTTGAAAAATGTCTTAAACTAGAAGGTGTTTTACTGTTATGAACCCCAAAAACTGCCATGAACATAATAACAGTGTCAAAAGTAGGCCGAGTTGAAATTAATGTTCATGATTATATTTCACTTGTCCTTATTTTGACTAAGATTAGGTTAGCCATACTGCAAATGTTTGTTTAAAAAACTGGTATGCTGTTTAAATGTAACAGGTAACAAAACATACCACATACCTGTTCACCAGACTAGTTCTTATGAGTTTAACATATATTACAGGAAGCCACAGAAGAAGAATTAGAACATTTGTTAGATAAAATAATGGTTCTATTCAGATTTATACATGGTAGGTCTCTTTAAATAATAACCAGTCTCTTTAATTTGTTGTATGAATTCAATCTTAGGCCTGTCATTTTAAAAAACCCAGAAGAGCTTAAATTAAATACACCACTGAAAAATTACAATCATCTAAACAAGTACAAATTTTGGATGATTTTTACAAATTTTTAAACAAAGATTTGATATTAAACGAATGTGAATGAAATTAGTGCTAAATACACAAGATTAAATGATACCCGGGTTACAGTGTAAATGTTTGCTTATTTAATTGAATAGATATTGTACATCTGTATTTCATTATCTAGTAAGAAAATTAAAACTAATAGTAATAAACTTGATCAGATTAAATAGACTTTAGTAAATAGCAATAATAACAAAACATTATAAAATTAACACTTGTAAAATTACAATGTTTACTCTTCACGCCAGCGGAACAATGAAGTGATTTTTTTTCCTAAAATGTAATAATTATTCCAGCATCATAATCCGAGAAATTTATTAGGGTCATGGATATTATCACTGAGACAATATGAAATAAACAATTTGATTCATATGAATATAAATAATACTCGTCCATCAACTGAGTGTGCACTATATTAATGGGTGCTGCAATCGAGTCTATTGATAATGTATGAGATTTGAAGATTGTAAACATTGGGCAAGTTGCTATTGTAAAAAAGGGGAAACCACACATTTATTAAAATATTTAAATCTAACTTTTCGCATGTGGCAAGCACATTTACAACGTTCCTTAAATCACACTTCTCAAAATGCAAAGCCTGAATTCTTAGTATTTAAATAAAGGCATGACAACATTTTAGTAACTTCAGTTTTAAAGCTATATGTTTTGTTTCTACAACTTTAAATCATTTGTACAATTCTTTTCAATGTTAAGATGATCCAAATTTATATGAAACAATTTGATATGTATAATTTATAGGTAAAGATGTATTTGAAGCTTTCTATAAGAAAGATCTTGCCAAAAGATTATTGATGAGTAAAAGTGCTTCGGTTGATGCTGAGAAATCTATGTTGTCTAAATTAAAGCAAGGTTTGTATGATTTACATTTATAGCTGTTGTATCTCCAGTTCTCTATTTGCAGTCTAAACAACTATGTTGAATTCAATTAAGGTCATTTTTATAAGCCCACATGGAAAAGTGGACGTATATTGCCACCAGTCCGCCGTCCACAATTTCTCTTGAACACTCTACGGACTACATATATCATCTCATTGTTTTGAAATTTATATATGTTGTTTACATTAGTGAGCTGAAGAAGCCTATTTAATTCAATAATGAAATTTATTGAAATAAGTGAAATGTAGAATCCTATTGAATTTCAGCAATTTGCGTTATTACTTCTAGAGTTATGGTTCATGCTTGACTTGGGTTAGACATTGTAAATGCTCAAACGACAAAAGTTGTCATCCAATCTGTATGAAATTGATATGCATCATTTAAATTAGTGATACAAAGTCGCATATTGAATTTTAGAAAATTTTGTTATCTACTAGAGTTATTGCCCTTGTTTCACTTTTTTGAACTCTTGTCAACCCTCAAATTATAATCTGATCTGTATGAAATTGTCTTGTAAACACTTTATGGTGATCCAGCTGTCAAGACAAAATCCTTCTCTTCCCTAGATGCCATTCCTTTCATTTCACAGCCCAGTCGGTGCAGAAAAGTAGGATGTTAAACTTCATTTCATGTCTTTAATAAATGTTTCAGTAAAATCATATGTATGTCCCAAAATAGCTTACAGTCAAAGTTTCTACATCCAGAATATCATAAAAAAAATTTTTTTTTTTCCTATTTCAGAATGTGGTGCAGCATTTACTAGTAAATTAGAAGGAATGTTTAAAGACATGGATTTGTCTAAAGACCTTTCTTTAGCATTGAAACCTGTAAGTATTTACTAGCAGATTAATTAACAATAATCTTAGTTAATCAGAATTATGATAGGGAATGATTTTAGATGTGTAGAGTTTAGTTACAACACAGAAATTATACAGGCTTGGCGTAGTCATGATTTTCATTTTATTTCGTGAAATCAGAATTCTTTATTCAGACAGCCTTCTACTAAAGATTTCTTGTGTATAATGTAAGACATATCTATTTCAGTATATGCAGAATTTAGATGTAGCAGGTTTAATAGATTTAACTGTAAATATATTAACTATGGGTTATTGGCCGACCTATACACCAATGGAAGTTCATCTACCACCAGAAGTAACATTTTATACTTTTTAAAAAAAAATCCATATAATTCTGTCAATTTCCTTCTGTATTTATGTAAAATTTGTTTATATTAAATTTCTAATGAATTCTTTAATTTGTTTTGAGCTAAATTAGTTCAAGGTTTATTGAACAAGAAAAATGCAATGGTGCCTCAACATTATGCTACAATATCAGACACGTTTTACTTTGTGGTAATACAACTCTCTGTAGGTTTTGAAGTTTTCAGGTAGCTATATGTACATGCAGACATGATTTAATTAAGAAATGGATAAACAAGATTTTGTTTACTATCATAACAATGGTAGCAATGACAATAGGGACTTGATACATATTTCAGACTTTGTAGCGTTTTATGTTTGATTTCTTTACAGATGATAAGATATCAGGAAATATTTAAGAAGTTTTACTTGGGTAAACATAGTGGACGCAAACTTCAATGGCAACCTTCTTTAGGACATTGTGTACTAAAGGCTCAATTTCCTTCCGTAAGTAGCTATTTGTTTTTTTATGGATCGAAATGTAGTAATATATCTAAAACATTGTGTACAAAAGGCTCAATTTCCTTCCATAAGTAGCTATTTGTGTTTTATGGATCGAAATGTATTAATATATCTAAAACACTCTGCTTATTCAACAGAAAGAACAAAGGCAGATACCCAATACATGTTAAAGGGCCAGTCTCGATTATATTTTAGAGAATAAAACTGCTTAATTTTGTGTTAAAAGCCCTTTAAATCCTCGACCTTAGGGCCGAGCAACTAACTTATTGTACGTGATACGTTTTCAAACAACTTAAATCTGTCAGTCTTCATCTGGAAATGGAGACCGGTGTCCCCAGCTATATTATACGGTGTCTGCATAAAACCAGACTTTTATTTTATAAAAATAACGTGTAGGTGAAATTTAACTTTCAATACCAAGTACAGCACATGGGTCATGCACTGTATAGACCTCTAAAGGATTGGCAATAGATTATCATGTCACCCAACGAAAAAAATTGACCCAAAATTTTGAGACATGGTAAATACACCATTCCTCTATATTTTGGCGCTTAAAGATGGGTTCCCAGAAAAGTATTTATCGGGTGGTTATTTCCAATAAAAGTATGGCAATTTTGGTATATATGGAAAGTAGAGATATCCAATCTTACTAGAAAAATACTGGATTCCCCAAAAAACACTCATGGAGCGTATACAGGACAAAAATGTAAGGGTTCCCCTAATCAACAGCCCGATGATTAGGAACTTCTGCACGCACGATGTCAAAGGTCACAAGCGAACATTGAGCGCTTGATGTACAAGTTGATAAACTTTATGAAGAGTTAGACGTACAATACTTTCTGAGATAAAAATGACGGAAAAAGACGCGGGTAGTGGATAATCCGAGAATTTAATTAGGATTCGATATTTGTAATAAATAGTAAGCGATTAAAGACAACATCGTCTTATGTATGCAATGATTTCTCCTCTGACTCCCAAGACGTGACGTAAACATGACCTGGTTTGATCGAATTTTAATAGCAGGGCATTCCTTCGCAATAACAATGTTTGAGAAGGATTTGAAGCATAATTATGACAAATTAATTAGTTTGAATATGTTTTTGGTCCATTTATACCATTAAATCACCCAGTTTGTACGCGGGAACCCATCTTTAAATTTGATATGTACACAGACTTTTATTTCTGAGACTCTGAATCGAGATGGCCCCTTTAATATACTCAAAGCATATTTAAAAAAATCCTCTCCATATTGGTATTATATCAAACTGTAAAAGATGACTGCCTTTAACACGTGCCATCACAGCACGCAGAGTCAATCATTGGCTGAATGGCGCATGCATTGTTTACATAAGACGTTACTGCCTTGGGCAGAATGCTGCCTTTTAGTCATTTTAATACCCATTTACACTAAATAGGAAATAATTTTTTACCTACAAATACGTCAAACGTCTTTATTTATTTTTCTAATACATCAAAAAAATGTTTTAGAATTCAATTTGTCGGTGGAAAAAAGTTAATATTTGAGACTCATTAAGATTGCATTGATGTCATCCTTATCAGTGATTGTAGCAGCCTAGCGATTATTCACTGCTGATCAGTGTGGTATTATATATTGAATAATCTCCATCAATGATTGCCACAAATTGAAGAAACTGATGAATATTTTATTTTTCAGGCAAATAAAGAATTACAGGTATCATTGTTCCAATCTTTATGTCTCTTATTGTTTAATACTGGTAATGTTCTCACATATGAAGAAATTTTAACTGCAACAGCAATAGGTATAGTATACTTTCTTACATTTAAATTATCTACAGAACAAATCTAGTAATTATTATTTTTGATGATTCTAGAACTCTATTTTTCTTAATTTTCAGTGCTTGATGAAACCAATAAGATACATGGGGAAAATGTAATAGTGTAATGTTATATTAATTAATTCACGATTATTAATTAGTTATGTTATTTGTAGTATCAAGTGAAATATTTTTACAAGATGTGATATATGTTATGCATTATAAATGTCTATTGGTTTTACAGAGGAGAGTGAATTGAAGAGAACGTTGCAATCATTAGCTTGTGGTAAACCTACTCTACGTGTCCTCAGTAAAAAGCCAAAGGTAATTATGATATATTTGTATCATTTGGTCAAAGTGGATGACAGATGTAGGTAGGGTTACAATATGTCCCGATTTTGGGGGTACTTTTTGTCATCAAAATGTCCCGGTTTATAATCAGTCTACAGAGGAAACTAATTTTGGGTGTTTTTCTATTTGAAAAATAATAAGACATATTACATAAACTAGTGTTCAGTGCTTCATAATACAAGTTCTGATCTAAATATATGTGTAGCTTACTGCATAATACATAATGCCCCAAACCCCCCTATTAGGTGTACTACTTATTGTCTCATTTAGAAAAAAAGAAAACCTTGTAAATATTACTATAATAAATTTGAGGATACATTTTAGATTGTTTAAAGACAATGCGATATTTACAATCAATTACAGTACAGTTTTCATCAATGGTTTAATTTAAATCAAATGTAAACTCATGTTGGTTCAAATCAAATGTAAATTCCATCGACAATTTCATTGATAATTTAAATAAACAGTGAACCAACAATGGCATCGTGGAAGGGGGAGGTGTATAAACTATTATTGTTCACAATTGACACTCAATCTTTTCTCAAGGTAAATGAAACAATTTTTGAACTTTTATTAGGACTAAATTAGCTTGACCATGAGAAGAGGGTGGTAAAGCTTGTAAAAGAATCTGAAATAAATTTATCTCCCGATTTAATCCTTTAATGATTTTAAAATGACACCAACTCTTTGGATTGGGTTAAGAATAAAATTGTTGATTTGTCCTGTGTGGACAAGTTGTCTTGATTGATAATTTAACCTTAAAATTACCAGTGCTCATCACTGATCAAAATAACAAATCAGATGTACCCCATGCAATACTTATTTTGACCAATATGAAAGGCTTTTGATAATTTTAACAACTGTCCGTGGTAAGAGATACAAATTCTTGCCTATTTTGTAGTCAAGATTCAACTAACTGTTATATTGTTTTCAGGGGCGAGATATAGAAGATGGAGATAAATTTTATTTTAATGAAGAATTTAAACATCCTCTGTTCCGCATACGAATTAATCAGGTTCAAATGAAAGAAACGGTAAGTACTGACATTTTAGCATCTGTGACAATTGAGTAAATATAACGAGATTGGGCTACAAAAATATGCAGCAATTTGAGAATTTAAATTCTGTAAATGTGCAATGTTTTGGACTTTCTGGCGAAGAGATAAATTTGCATTTGAAATGTCTGCAAATTATTTGAGATGTTAAAGATACAATACTAGGAAAATAAATCAATGTAATAAATTTTGACTTATCATTTGAAAGATTTTGAATCCCTTGCAAACTACAATATTGAATGGTTCAATTCTGTTCATTATTCATAATGATATGATGAATTAAAATTTGCATCATTCACACTATCCCCTGTAGAAAAAATAAATGAAGCATGGTCAAAACAAGCCAGATGCTAAAATCTTTTGATGGGCCTCTTTTTAATAATCTTGAATCCAAGACAGAAAATAATCAACCATTGATATTTTGATTTTTTCTTAAATGTTAAATAATCAACTGTATTATATTGTAGTATTGATGTCTGAAAACCTAAGACTCCCACAATTATCAAAAATGAAAGCACAGACTTACTTAGAATGAGACATTTTGCACAAGCCTTTGTTAAACTCATTGATTGTAAACATCTATATTTCTCAGCGATAGATTAACTGATTTGCCTCATGTTCTAAACATAATCTAATGTGAACACCTCCATTTGTGACCTTTATAATTAAAAATAAAGATTTATATACAAACTATTTATAGCATCCCTGACATCAATCGATAAATTTTCTTTTTACCAACCTACAATAATGCGCCTTAAAGTCACAATGCATTTAATTTATTTATTCAGCCTGAAGAAAATACAAGTACAACTGAAAGAGTATTTCATGATCGCCAATATCAAGTAGATGCTGCAATTGTTCGTATTATGAAAACTAGAAAAACCCTCAGTCACAATTTGCTTATATCCGAGTTATTTAATCAGTTGAAATTTCCAGTCAAGGTAAGTTTACCAACATTAATTACATATATTCTGAATGGGGATAAATATATGAAGCTACAGGTTTGTGAAGTCTGCGAGGCACAGAAATTAACTCTAATATCTGTGTTACGGAAAAAAAATTGATATTTTTTTTTCTGGTAGTTTGGATATATTATTTATAATCAGTGGTTATGTAATTGACATTGCAATTGTCAAGGAAATATATCTTTACTAAGTTTGGATATATTATTTATAATCAGTGGTTATGTAATTGACATTGCAATTGTCAAGGAAATATATCTTTACTAAGATTAGCAGAGTAGTAAGAGTTGTTGATATATGTCTTATAATTTTAAATATTTATTCTTTTAGATTACATTAATAAATTGCACAATTATTCATTAGGATTAGGATACAAAAATGTGAAATATGACAGTTTGAATATTATTATTCAATATTTAATTTTAACATTTTATATTTATCTCCACAGCCTACAGATCTAAAGAAACGAATAGAAAGTTTGATAGACCGAGATTATATGGAGCGTGATAAAGATAATCCCAATAACTACCACTATGTAGCCTAATCCTTCTAAAATTGTGATATTTTAATATTATGGTGTTAATAAAAGACAGCTGTTATTCTTGTTTGACGAAATCAGTACAAACTCCAAGAATGGATGAATGAAATCACATTTTCAGCTCTGAAGGAGATAAAAGTTTCTGGATTTTTTTCTCGTGTGACATACAAAAAACTATGAGGTGTTGCAATGGATCATTGTAAACATTTGTGAATAGTATAAATATTGCTGTGCAAAAAGGTAAAAAAATATGAAATATTGTAAATAGAAGAAATTTATTTTAGGTTCTGTTTTCTTCCATTTTACATGTTTATGTTGGATATTGTCAAGAGTTTTGGGACTTGATGTTTGATTAGTATAGTCACTGACTCAGCTAGAGAATTCTTGTTTAAAGTCAGTTACTTAGTGGGAAGAATTCTTGTTTGGAGTTAGTCACTTAGTGGATATAATACATTCTCCTATAGCTAACAATTTTAAAGAGCATCAAATTTCTATATAAAAATATTGGACATTGGCTGTAAACAATCTACAGTGTTGTATTGGTATTCTGAATTTGGTTTGTAAAGATGGTTAATCAGTATGAAAAACAACTGTGAAATACATGTTATCAATTCAAAATTTATGAATTAAGCCAAAATGGATGGAAATATTTTTTATATGAACACGAAATTGCCATAAAATTTCTATTTTTCCTTCAGTACTTATTTTTATTTTGTTTGAAGATTAATCCTTTAGAATAGTAATTAAAAGATATTAATTTATAAACAGAGAAACTCGACAAGTTATATTAAACTTTTGTATATGTATAAATATATTATATATTCATATCAACAAACTCAAATGTATAGAATACATAAATATTCTAATATCCAAGTTAAAGGGGAAATCAATATTTTTAGGAATTTTGTAACCAACCTTGCCATTGTTAATGTTTAAAAAAGACAATGTTGAAAAGAAATATTATTTGAAGACAAAACTCAGGTTCCTGTGTTTGATTGAATGGCAGTAAGATAGGTCTGGCAGTATTTTGTGCAGTGTGGAACTGGAAATGGTATGACATATTTATTAATTTAAAAAAGGGTTGTTTCCCCCTTTAATATGTGAAATATTTAGGTAGATGTGTAAATGTGTTGTTTTTTTTTTGTATATAGTATATATATCTGAAGTGCTTTGTAATTAATGAAACCCCCCTCATGGAATAGTGCATTTTCCCTTCTTTATTATAAGTTTTGTTCATTTCTATTTTTATGAGTTGTTCACACATATTTAACAATCCTATAATTCTGATTGCTAGTGTTACATGTTAGTTACAGACTATTCAGAATGCTAATTTATAGGGCCATATATACGTGTACCAAATTGTGAAGACAAGAGTTAGGAGAGATTTTAATTTATACTTGTATTTGGAGGTGGTACATGAACAATCTCACACATAATCATCCTTTCAATGGATATACATGCTAACTTTATTGGCTGACACTCTGGGAATGGTTTGATTTTGGTGACCGGTCAAGATGTCAAGACTAGCTTTGCTTTTAATTGAAGTGGCTGTGTTCCTGAAGAGCTTGACTTTAGAAAGTGCATCTTCATTATTAGGTGCAAAAGTGAGTTGCAGTTGATTTATCCAATGAATATATAATTATTGTTCATTTTGTGCTCACCAAATCATGGGTGCAACCCCCCCCCCCCCCCAAAAAAAAAACAGACAATAAACCCAGCTAGATAATTTACAATCTAAAAATAGGCAAATGTTTGTTTCTTTCTTTTACACCGGTTCGATGTATGTCAAATTGGGAGTCTCAGTTGTCACCAATGTAGGTCAGTACAGTGCATAGACATAGAATTTTATATACTTCTCTAGGTTTATTTATTGGCGCCAATAATTAGAATATATACTATACTATCTTTTTTATTTTGGTATTTTCACCTATTGGACTTTAGTTTGAAAGAATAATTATTTTCCAATGTTATGTATGGCCATTTTGGGAATCTGAATGGTACATACCGTAGTTGTAGAATGAACTACACTGTAATATTTTAATTTTCCCTGTAAATTCATGTGCTCACGCCTACCTTTGATAACCTTTACTACAGTCAGAGATAGTGAAGTACTCTTTGCAAATATATTTGGATAAAAAAGTCTTGGTTTTTATGACAAACCTGTTTTTTTTTTAAAAAAAATTATTGACATCCAGGAACAACAAACCATAATATCAGGTTATTTCCACAGGATTTGAATGAGAGTTTTCTAATACAAAGACTGTTATCGTGAATACAATCCATTATGTTTGTGTATGTATAGATGTTTGTGGAAATGTTTGATATAAAAGCTTCCCTCACTGATTTAAGATTTTGAAATGTAATTATTGAATACCAGTATGAGCAATATTCAATCATAATCTAGTTTTCTGGTAGTTAATAATTATTATACTTTGAATCAGTCAGTGATAAGTTCATGTTCAATTTATTTCTCTCTTCTTCATATATATTTGAATTGAACAAAACGAATAAAGAAATGAAATTTTATTTCATAGTGTTCTTGTAATTTTACATCCATATTCTTTGTATAATATGGCATAGTTTCCAAAGTTAGAGGGGGGTGGCCGAATGGATTTAAGCATTTAAGCCTTAGATCATAAGGTCTGTCATTGAGTAAAGTGACATGGTTTTGATTCCTCGCTTACATATGCAACAAGGACCAGGGTCCTTTAGTTTCCACCCACTGCTCAAGACATCTACGCGCTTGCAAATTATTGAAATAAAATTGAACTGCATGTTAGTTCCGAAGTGCAACACTTATTTGACTGGAAGTGCTAAAGAGACGTAATGGAGTGGAAATGTGATTTTTGGCAGCCCTCGGAGGCTGTAAGAACTTTAATTTACAGTAAAACATAGGCACAAAACTCAAAGTCCCTAATATGGTCAAGTCCAACAGCGTGCAATTCTGCCATCTAAGCCTTGGAAACGATTGTCCAGTATCAGGGATGGTAGTGTTGCATCCAACCCTTTGGCTTGGGAAAGGGCTTTGGTACTTTATCCTCTTGAATGGCACACTCTCAGTGTTCTGGTGATAACTTTGGTATATCCATGAATCTTCCACAGAACTGTACAGTTGTACTGAACCTAACTTTTTAAAAGCCACATTTTATACCCCATCTCTGCACTGTAAAATCAGGATTTTTTAACATCCTATTGAATTTAAATTTTTGTGTTTCAGAGAATTGAAAATCTCATTCTTATATTTTACTGTGATTTATGTTGTTACATTCAAAATAGCAAGATTAACCTGCATCTCTCAAATAAGATTTACCATCATCCATTTATAAAAGTGCTAAATTTTCATTATGTCGCAGTATATTTAGACAATTTCGACCAGATGTTATTTGGCTGTATTTGGCAGAATAAAACATAACTTCTCATTATAAAGGTTAATGATCCAACCTGAACTGGGTTCAAAACAAGAACTAACGAGAGGACCTGAGTCATCAACATTGCACGCCCTTTGATAGGTAAATAAATACATCTATTTGTAACCGGCAACCAATTACTAGTAGTGTACCCATTGGTACGCTTATCAGATGTGGTCAGAATGTGACCCGCTATGATAAAATCTGAACAAAAGAAAATAAACTCTTAGACACACAGGCTACCATGACATAGAAACCGAGAAACTGCAAGGACCAATTGTTTAAAAAAACACTGTTTTATATATTCAACCTTACTGAAAATAAAAGTTTTTAGCGAAGAAATTATTTTGGGTTTAATTCAGTGCGTGTATCACAGAACATATATTGTGCTTAATTAGAAACTACCACTATGGTTTCAAAATACTTGAAAGTTATATGCTCAGGTATAGATGATGGAAAAAAATAAAAAGAGGTGGTTAAACATCCTAGATTTCTGCACCTAAGGGCCTAATGAAGACAAACCTCTGTCATGTGGGGTACAAGGGGAAACCTTTCCCGGACGTCCACGCTACGCCCTACTCTTATTTTGAATCCCAACTTTAAACTGTTGTTTTAGGTGCATGCCAAACAGGTTGAACTGATATGAAATGGGGTTTAACGTCCTACTGTTCTGCTCCGATCTGGGCTAATGAAGACAGGCATACGCCATACAGTGTGCTAGTGCTATGAGGAAAATTTTGCCCGGACAGTGGCACTACGGCCTACTCTTATATCGAATTCCAACTGTCAAGGGATCTTTTACGTGCATGCCAATGTGTACACAGGACCTCAGTTTTTCATCTCATCCAAACGACTAGACAGTTGTCCTAGTCAGGCCCTCGGTCCTTCATCACTGACAATTGGGAACCACGGTGGAAAATCTACATGACCTTCCTCAGCCAATGCAGGGATCGAACACTCGACCTCCAGGCTACCGAGCCAGCGTCTTACCCACTTAGCCACCGTGATCCCCCTCGGGTTTCACTGCCCACATTTCTGCACCAATGGGCTACTAATGAAGACGGGTGGGCATATTTCATGCAGTGTGCAAGATCAATTGTTCCCCGACACAGCGACCCTATGGCCTTCTTTTATTTCGAATTCCAACTGCTGAGGGTTGTTTTACATGAATGGCAGGGATACAATGCATGCCAACATGTACACTGAACCTCAGTTTTTCATACCATCTGCTCGACTTGATGCTGTTCTGCGCCAGCCCCTCCATCCTGTACCAAAGGGGAATCCAAACAGGAATATCCAGAGGAACTTTCTTGACCAACACTGGGAGCAAACCCTCAGACTTCCAAGTTATTGAACCTGAGCCTTACTGAGCCACATGACTGATGCTAGTTTGAAAAAAAAAATTTCATAAAGATATCTTGAATGGGACCAGATATCAATATCCCTCCCTTAACTTCGTTTGGTGCAGGATAACAAGCTTAGTTATTTATTTGTCATATTTTTATGAGAGACTTTTCTTACTAATTTAAACATAAAACAACCAAAATTAGGGATATGCACCCACGGCCACCCATCACTTTCACCTGTGCATTGAAACAGATTCTTTTTATCAAGATATATGCATATTTTATTTCCTAATATAAATAAACATTTCCACATAAAGAATTTTGTCCATTTCACAAATGGTCTTGAAAGCAGAACTTAATATACTTGTCCTATAGTTCAAAGATCTTTTTTTTAAAACACTGCTTAACACTTTAAATCTGGTATGGATTCCAATCCCTGAAATAAAAAATAAATTAAATTATTCAATGTTTCAATCATTAAAATATTTCAATCCTGCAAACGTCAATATATTTATGAGACAATTTTGCACTCTCAATCTCCGCTGATTGGTTCTGAAATAATATATTAAATATATACAACTGAATCAGGCATATGATAAAATGTGTCTGTTGTCTGAGGGTTTAGCTATAAGGAATATGCCTAAGTCACACAACATGCGATTCAGTTTACAGGAGAAAATAATATTTTGAATAGAGATCAGATTTTCGGCAAGAACACTTCTGCATTTCTTTGTGGACGTTGTTTAATGAAATATTCGTAATGTAAAGTTCATGTTCATAAAAGTAAAATCAAAGTAGGAAATGAAATGAAATGGGGTTTAACGTCCTACTGTTCTGCTCCGAATTCAACTGAGCTAATGAAGCGGCACTACGGCCTACTCTTAAATCGAATTCCAACTGTCAAGGGATCTTTTACGTGCACACCAATGTGTACACAGGACCTCGCCACTTCGGTTTCCCGTCCCATCCAAACGACTAGACAGCTGTCCTTGTCAGGCCCTTCGTCCTGCTTCAAAAATCAAAGTAGGCCTACTTGTATCAGTAGGCACATGACTCGTTACTTGCCATCTCTCTTGTCATTACTCTAACCTATCCTGACTTTCTATTTAGTTTAATTTTAATGTCAGCAATGAGGGACATTTTGCCCAGAAAGCAGCACTACAACCTACTCTTATATCGAATTCCAACTGCCAAGGGTTCTTTTACGACTTACGTGTACGCCAATGTGTACACGGGACCTCAGTTTTTCAGGCTATCCGAATGACTATAATTTTCCCTTGCCAGGTCCTCCGTCTTGCACCAATGACACAGGGTAACCACACAGGAAAATCCTGATGAACTTCCTCGTTCAACACACGGATCGAAATCAGGGTCACCAGGCTACCGAGATACCATCTTACTCACTGAGCCACCATGACTCCCCAGTGACTAAACGGCTTAAATGTATAAATACTATAATAGATTGCAAATTATAAAACAATGAGAGGCATATAAATACAGAGGTTAAACCATATCTCTCTCTCTCTGATTTGGGTTCAGTCTAATCCATTATGGCCAGCCATAGGAACTTAAATGAATCAATATTCAACTCTTAATATACTAATTTTGAAGAGGAAGATAGGTTGCCAGGCAACGAAACATATGCCCACAGCAGCTAAATCATTCGAGTGGTTGACAAGAGTTGTCGCATATATATTTCTTTGTAGGTAATTGGGGGCCTTTACAAGATAGTTCCATACAGATCAGATTATAATTTTTGGCGTTAGAGGGTTCACAGGTTCTACAAACTGAAACAAGGGCCTCAACTCTGGAAGTAGTCTACAGAAATTGTTGAAATTTGACATGTTTTTTCGTTTTACTAATTTAAATAATGCATATAAATTTCATACAGATCGGATGATCACTTTTGTCATTCAAACGTTCACAAGGTTCACAAAGTAAAACAAGGGCCATAACTCTAGAAATTATTGACAAAAATTGCTGTAATTCAATAGACCTCTGTTTCACAAATTTAAATGATGCATATAAATTTCATACATATCGGATGATAACTTTCATTAAAGATACATTATGGGAGATAAGATAAAGAGATGGCAGTTCTCGCTATAATAGTTAAAAACTAGATAGTGTAAAGGTAATTTGCTGAAAATTTCAGTCAAAATGATCCACTATGAGCCGAGAAAGAAGCGTGTGAAATTTTTGCATAGTCTCGGTCATCATTACTAAAATCATTAATATAAACAGCATAGTCTCAATTATCCGCTTTTATTGATTTAATTATCAATAGCGGCATATAGGAATCTAATCCAGCCAACATCAAAGGCTAGCCTTGACATCGAGAGTTTATTATGGTCTGGATAAGTTAATTAATGTCTAATTGATAATTTAGATAACATTTCAGGCCTAAAGAAAGACTTGTAATAAGCAGATTTTGCTCTTGCATAATGCATGTTTAATGGAACATTAACAAGGTTGAACAAAGTGATTACCAGTATTGTAAATTTCTAAAATTCAATAGGCTTCGTGGTTTCACTAATTTAAATAATGCATATAAATTTCAAAGATTAGATGATAACTTTTGGCGTTAGAGTGTTGACAGGGTTCAATAAAGTGAAATGAGTCATAATTCTAGACGTAATAAACGGAAATTGCTGAAATTCAGTGGGCATATAAAAATAAATTCTTCTTTGTCATATTTACATTATAGAAAGTGTTTTATTATAATAAGAATAACAACATGTATTTAAAAACAAAGCGAAAAAATGAGTGAAATTTATCACAACTAATTTCGTATAGCTTTACTGAAGTCTTCCAATTGCAATATTTGGATATATCAAACATTTTGACATCAAATCACTGATTCATTCCAGGTGTCAAAATAAACATTTAGACATTACTCAACTACTGTGGTAGATTGTGTCTAAGTTTGCTGGATATTTTCACCGCCACCTTCATCACATGAATATAATAAATATACTGTACCCTAGGTCTGTATTCACTGCCAGTTATGTATCGATCTCTCTTATAACCCTTTTGATCTTCACCCAAACCAGCCTCCCAATCACGACAACAGTGCTGTAATTTATAAATACATGTAGGGTTATTAATCTTTGACACATATTTAAAGAGACACAAATATATCCAGACAGATTTAGGAAGGGAGCTGTGGTCACTGGCTCGCTAACCTGGAGGTCTCATGTACGATCCCGATGTTGGGTGAGAAAGCTGTTCTGGGTTAGTCTGCACATAAAAGAACCCTCGACAGTTCAAATTTAAAATATGAGTAGGTCATAGTGCGGCTGTCCAGGCAAAATTTCGTCATAGCACACTGTATGCCCTATGCCCACCTTCATTAGCCCAATCGGTGTAGAATAGCACGTTAAAGCTCATTTCATTTCTGGTATTGCTACACATTGTGAGCATTTTATTTTTCATTTTGTTTCACACAAATATTGATGTCAGTGTTAAATTTAACTTACACCTATTTATTATAATAATCAAATAAGAAGTTACTTTATTAAATCAATTTCATAATGTACCATACATTAGAATAATGTTATGAACTATAAATTATGTCTAAAGATAAAGTTTGTTAATAAATCTCATAAAAACAACATGCATGTACATATAGATTACAAGAGATATACATGTGGTTTAGCCAAACTTGTCTCCTACTAAAAAAATAGTACATATATTGGACATGAAATGCTTCTATTAATGTTACTATTAAGTATTCATTTATCTCTTGTTTTTAGTTTTATTCATTCATCCTATTCCTTAAAATACCCCAACTTTCAACCTTTCCTGTACTTTTTTTTCCATTGCAGATTAAAATGGTAGGTTACAGGTCTTTTATTTTATAAAGATATTCATTTTGTATTATTTTCTATATCATTCAGACTTATAAATCCATATAGTTTTGTATAATATTGTATTTAAATAAGTGTATTTATACGCTAAGTATTAAATTAAGAAAATGAATTCAAAAATAAATGTATTGTATTTTATAGGCCTGAACCATTAAATCAGTATGGCAAATTTGGTATATTTGGAAAGTATAGGGCAAGCACTGCGCAAAAGTGTCAGGTATCACTAACTGGCAATCCAACTGTTGGTTGCCAGCTTATTGTGTGCTAGCTTGACTGAGGAAGCGGTTATTTCTTGATCAAATGGTTAGGTGGTTTTGGGAACATTGAGGTGTGTCAACATACAAAAGATCCTGCAATTAAACTGCAGAAAAAGAAGTTGACAGAAAATAATTAAAGACTTTACTTAGGCCTCAATATTTATGGTAAGGTGACAGTTTATTTATAGCTATTGGTATTTCTGGCAAATACAAAGTTTTGAGAGGAAATTGAAGCAAATTTTTGAAAGATTGATTAGTTTGAATATGTTTTTAGCCCAAATACATCATTAAATCACACAGTTTGTATTCAGAAAAGTATCTTTAAATTATATTTAAATAAGACGCCTTCTTGTACATGTATGTCAGCACATTTTATTTCTTTGTTTTATTGTGATATGTCTCCTGTCTGGTACTTCTAATTTTACAGCAGAATAAAGAATAAATGAATCAAGATCATCAAGATTCAAGATCAAGTCGAATTTTTCCAATTTTTTGGAGGATCAACCATGAAATGGCAACTATATAATTTCGACAACTTTCTTACTCATGTCTTTATTCGATTTATTAAGTTGGATGCCAATCAAGTCGTCCACAGTTAAGTCGTCTACAACCGTTGCTGGAGTTGTCCACAAGGCATTGGTGATATCGTCCACATCTGTTGGTGATATCGTTCACAACTAATACTTGACTCATACACAACTAATGGTTAAGTCATCCACAACCAATATTTGACTCGTACACACTTTAATTGTATGGAGGAAATAGCTAGTACTCATTGACTGTTTTGTTGTTTGAGTTTAGATCGAATCACTAATGTTTTTGTAATAAAGTTATTCGTATTGTTTGTTAATGGTATGGAAGAAATAACTTTTAATCCTTGATTGTTTTGATGTGGACTGTGGACGACTTGACCAGATGTTTTGTGTGGACGACTTTGCTTTTGGACGACTTGACTGGTATTCGTTCAGTCAGGTCAACCTAATCCAACAAGTCAGATGTTACTGTTTGGTATTCTGTTGACGTAACATCTAACATCCCAAAAGTCAAAAGCTTTTCGCTAAAGTTGATAACTAGTTTACTTTGTTCAGTGGACGGCAAAATTCACAATTTTCAGCTATCTGCACTGCTAACACATTAACTTGCATATCATATATCCATCTATGTTCCGAAAAATATTTTTTGCTGTCTATTTTAAGAGATTTCACAAAAATCTTCGCCTACAACCAACAACACACAGTGAAACAGGAAATGACCTACATTGGCAAAAGGTGAAATCTGGCATGGGGCACATTACAAACAAAAGTCTTTAAACAAAACAAAATCATGAGACTATAATTTGAAGGCGATCATTTAAAATTTATTTTTAGCGATGGTCCGATTTTTGGTTTCACAATTCGGTAGCCTAATTGGCCGATGAGTGGCCTGTCAGAAGAAATTTTGACGATATTTACGTAGTCGATATCTGTTCAAAAAGACTTGGCAGCCAAATACCTTTTCATAAAATATTATTCAAATTGTGAACAAATCATTCTCTTACTTAAAATGGCACTTGGCCCTTTTATTTTAGTTGCCGTGTGTGTGTGATACAAGACTCAATGCTTTATTATAGATATTTTCAACTCTATAGATAGAAAAAGCGGGAAAATGTCACGTGACATTGACAAACACAGAAGTTATCATAATCAACCGTTAGCGATGAAACATTCTATGAATGCTGACAAATTTTAAGGCTTTATTTTGTAATCAACATTTAATAGCATTTTATAAATAATAATCTCAATCATACAGCCTATGCTAGAAATTATCACAGCATAACGGCAAAACTGTCGTAAAAAGTAAAAGCTGAAGCAACCACAGACTGCTACGGTAATAAAAATAGCCTAAATTGCGCCGTTGTCCACGTGTACACATATCAAAAGGTTATGCCTTTTATATACATGTAGACGCATGAAATGCATAGGTAATAACTTTTCAATATCATACAGTCGTTCAGGGGAGGTTGGGCTTGGGATTAGGTCAATAATTCAGAGATGCAAGATTTAGTTGTAAATAGCGTCCCGAGCCTACTGTTATAATTTATTTTTTCATAAGAATGCTGACTTTCTAAAATAGTGCCCTTATTATAGAAGGTTATGGCAGAGTAGACTGGAAATTTGGACAACCTGCTCTAAATGACGTCATGCTTGTTCCTACGTCACTGCGCTATTCTGACTTCAATATGTCAGAAAAGGAGTGACGTAGGAGCGAGTCTGACGTATTAGAGCAGGTTATCCAGTCTAATGGCAGAGAAGTGGGAAACTTGATGAATCAATTTTAGTTATGGTTGACATGATGGAAACCGTTGGGAACACGATTAACTAAAAGATTGAAAAGAAAACAAATTCAATGACTTAATTACTCCAAGAAGACTCTGTAAATTTTATACTTATGAAATGAAATGAAATGGGGTTTAACGTCCTACTGTTCTGCTCCTAAACTGGGCTAATGAAGACGGCCATACGCCATACAGTGTGCTATGAGGGAAATTTTGCCCAGGCAGCGGCGCTACGGCTTACTCTTATATCGAATTCCAACTGCCAAGGGATCTTTTACGTGCACGCCAATATGTACACGGGACCTCGGTTTTTCATACCATCCGAACGACTAGACAGCTGTCCTTGTCAGGCCCTCCGTCCTGCATCACTGACAAGGGGAAACCACGCCGGAAAATCTGGATACACTTTCTCGGTCAATGCAGGGATCGAACACCCAACCTCCAGGCTAGCGAGCCAGCGTCTTACCCACTTAGCCACGTGATCCCCTTTATACTTATGACAGTCCCACCAAACACAATTAGAACCAGATTAATCAACACAGAAAACCATTGCACGAGCCGTTTGTCTTAGTCTATCTACAAATATAAAAATTGCACGTTCCGTGACGCAAAATGACAACAGTATGTGTTAAATATGAAGAAAGGCAGTGGTGCCTTGTCAGCTAATTTTAGCCACGGCATTTATAAATTTTTGGTGCCGTTGTAGAAGAATCCTAATTTCAAGCACTGGTCATGATCTAGGTCTACTAATTAATCATGCAACAAATAATTATTAATTTCTCAATGGACGTTGTGTATTTTCAACTACCTGTGAAGAGCGACCTAATTATTCCTTCAATAAACATCATCTTCTATGCCCGATATAAAATCTCTACAAAAACAGTATATAACGCAATCCATAGAAATATTGTACAAAAATGCTGACATCGTTTTGCGTAAAACAGGGGTCCCCAAATTTTAATGGGGAGGATATGACATCAAACAGAGGTCAAACTATCCTAACATAGCGACTGAAAGAAATGTTGGTGAATGTGATATTGGATAAACCTGTTTCACTGAACAACTTTTGTTTTTCAGTAAGTATTATTGTTGTTCAGAGGGTAGCACGTCATTTCGGTCCCGTGTCATTTCGGACTCAACATAGACGACCTTTCGGACTCAGTTTGACAACGGTTCGGACTTTACTTGACGACTTTTCGGACTCGTTCTGGCGACATTTCGGAATCGGATGAATAATTAAAAGACTGTTGAACATTTGTGTGATATATTTGATGAGCCAACAATTCAGTCGGAGTCAGCCTTAACTAAATACAGCTTGAGGAATCTTGCGGTTATGCGTGAACGAAACCTCAAGACACTCTGGAGTAAGGTCAATAATATCATGTTAAACTCATGGTCGCCGTACAAAATTGTTGCTTCTCCTCACCTTGCCATTGCGAAATACTTTCTGCGCTACATATGAAAACATATTCGGAAGGGTCATTGCACCCACCATAATACCAACACATGGCAATATTTCATACCACATGTCCAAAAGATTTGTAATTCTACTTTTGCAACCTTCAACAAGATAGTTAGGCCTATTGACAGTGGAATTGCGATGGCGCTGTGCACGACGGACGATAACTTTTATGCTATCTATTTCGTTACCTTGGATCAGCACAGACGTCTTATCTTGCAATTTACCACTTATATAGTGTTATAACCAAAACATGAGGAAGATATCGATGTATACCGATGCAGAATGCCCAAGCTATATTTAGTCGATATTTTCCGTTGAAAACAATTTCCACAGTAGACATTCAAAATATATATGACAACACGTGATGTTTAGAATCCATTTCCAATAATTAGATAGCCCATTGTCCCAATATGCACATCCCGTTCATTTCATTTCGGTAAGTTATCGTGAGTGGAAGTTTGTGCGTAATAGTAATAGGCCTGCCGTAGATACAATATAAGCTAATTATTTAGTCGTTGATAAGTGTCAATGCAGTATATAGATAGAAAATTGAATTTATATTGCTTTTGTCGTTATTCAGTATTTCATTTAGGCCCACACTGTCACTAGCCTACTAAACTAGTACTAATACTACTACAGTCTACTATTAAAGGAAATAAGCCAATAAGACCTACTGAATTTGACCATTTTCAGTTTTACTTACAGGTCCTCTTCTGAAAGTTGGCTTTGGCCACTATTTTCAAGGTCTTTGTAATCAATGTGCTTATTTTTTCTACTACCTCCCGTAACGTAACGATATCAGCCTTATATTAAAGTCAAATTTTATCACTAGGCCTATGTCATTCCAGTTAGGTAGGCCTACTATTTGCTGGGTGAAGAAGTTAGATCTGATGGTTTTGTTGGATCAGTTCGGTACTATTTGCTGGGTGAAGAAGTTAGATCTGATGGTTTTGTTCGATCCTTGGACAGCAAGCTTTTTGTTATGACCTCTTGTACATCAGTGTTGTAATTTAGATGTTCCGGTTACGTTTTATCATAAATATCCGATATAATCTTGTATCCCTCGATCATATCTCCCCAAGTTCTTCTGTTGGGAGTTGACAGCTTTAATTATTTTATCCGATCTTCATATTCCATATTCCTTAACATCCAACTTTTTCTTGTATGAAATTCAAATAGCTAATGAAGACAGCATTATAAAAATGCTATATAAAAGATGTTTGAAAACTAATGTAACCAGACAAGCCCTTTAAATTTGACATGTTGTTTTTCTGTAAAGTACAAAGTTGGTATCATCTAAAGAAAAATGAAATAATTGATTTGAATTCAGAATTAATCAATTAGAACAAAAGTGGTGTAGTACATATTATGATTCCTTCGCCAGTTGGTATTTTGAAGAAGGATGTAGGCATTGAACATGTTGGTCACATAGAAATAATAACTCACAATGTATCAGTCTCAAAATGATAGAAGTATTGTATTGTAATGATTTGACTACTGCAGACATTAAATTGCATTCCATTTGAATGCTAAAGCTAATGAAGAATATTATAAAACAAATGAAAATCTGTGCAGTACGTGATACGTTCTTTTTAAAACAATTTCTCAAAATAATTTAACCAACAAGGAAAATCTCTTTAGCAGGATGCAAAAACTGATGAAAACTAGTCTTTAATTCTCAATGAATATTTTGTTTATAATAAATCCTTTATTTGGTAGTATCCTACCAGTGTATGCTTCACATATCATTTCAAATAGCAAATTGTAGTCTTGATTTTAAAACCTTTTCTTTACAGATTGATGTGAAAAATTTTGATTTATTTTGTTTTGATCCAAGTAAAAGCAGATATATTAATTACTGGTACACCGTTAAATGGCATCTCCTGTAACAAAGAAAAATGAATACGAAAAGACTAAAACTAGAGTTCTTCTAAGGGAAGCTGTACCCAAGTACAGTTTTCATGGAAAAAAACTGGATAAGTTCATTGAGGAAAAAAAAGGAAAGGAAGTCTCCATAAAAATAAATCAAAGTGTTTCTGACCAAAATGAAAAATCATTTCTGAATACAAAATTAGATAAATCTGCAAAACCTAGAGGAAATGTGGTGCCAAGTATAAGTGTAAAATCAAATTCTGTCAAGTCTGAAGATGCAAAATCTCCAGTTCCAATCCCTTGTACAAGAGTCCAACCAAATATAGGCTCAGATTCATCAAATGTTAAACCAGTGAATGTAGTCAACCCAGCAAGTTCAGCTCTCAACTTTCTTCCGACAACAGAAAGTCCACTAGAACAAGCAAAACAGAATGAAGTCAGACTTACCAAAGAGGTGGATTCTCTGAAGTCTCAGTTAGAAGTACAGCTACAGGTATGATATATAATATATGTGTCTTTGCCCTGAAATCTAAATCTGTAGCTCCATTTACATGCAACTCTAAATACAGTTGTTATGGAGGTTTTGCATGAGATAGGATGTGCTAACTCATTTGAGACTATAGTGTTATCATTCGTCAATGAATCGGCGATACAAATATAGGTTGATTAGAAATAAACTGCAAGAGCCGGATAATACTTGATTCAAACGCACATTTCAAACTTTTTTTCGTATGTGCGAGTAGATAACTTCCGTTTTGGTGCAGGTAGATAACTTCCGTTTTTGAAAAATGTCCTAAATTTTCCCGGAAAGTGTCTCGTACAGCAGACAGCGAGTTTCAAATTTTCCAGGAAAATCTTATGATTACTTCTCGTCAGATAGGCTGATTTGAGTCAAAATGATAGGGGAATGTATTTTTGGGCTCTGTGCATGGAATAGCTAACCATGTTTTAGACCAAACTGACTTTGTCAAATTCTGAACAAACTGCTGATCCGATATGGGCGAAGGAAAAAAGTCGGAATTAGATCAAATGGACCGAACATTTTGATCCGAGTTGAGCGAAGATCCAACTTAGGAAATGCGACTTGCGCACAGAAAACATGCAGGATCAAAGGGTCCAAACGATTTTATCCGAGTTGAGCAAATATCCGACATATGCGATGTTTATGCCAGCAAGATGCATGCCTTTATACTGAGGATCTCTACCAATATATTGGATGTGTGCCTAAACTCCTCAATTTTTTGTTAACTTTATTTATGCCAGCAAGATGCCTTTATACTGAGGATCTCTACCAATATATCGGATGTGTGCCCAAACTCCTCAATTTTTTGTCCATTTATGTATTATGTATTTATACATGCCTACCGTCAATGGCATGATAATGGTGTGATAAATATATCTAATGATTAGTTACCACAATTATTATCAATAATTTGATAAATTTGAGAGGTAATAAGATGTATAAACTATTATCTCAACATGTAAATGTAATGAAATATTAAATAATGTTCTTTTTCACAGGTAAATTCAGAACTAAAAAGGCTTTTATTAGCCTCCATGGGTGCAGATCTGGAAAGAAATGTTGAAAGATTGGCAAGGTAGTATATTATGTTATTAACATTAAAAGTATTAATTTTCTTCTAGTTTACAGTTTTTTAATTTGGTTTTATGGAAGTTGCTGGGGTTAGTGAACTAATTACACACAAAGATTATCAAAATCAGGTATTCTAGGAATTATTGTCGCTGCCATTAAAATTTTATACCGGAAAGTGCTTCCTGGATTATTGAAATTTTTATTGAGAACTACATGGGATCTTTTTCAAAAGTTACAAGGTTGAACTCTATTGAAAATCAGAGTCGCCTACAAATGTCTGGTTTTGATGTTTTATTGTTTTTCAAACACCCGAGGATTCAAAACATTGAAATGATGACAGCCTTTAATTAAATCAGTTTCCACAAACTACAGAATACAGCAGTTTGATTCATATCATAAACCAAATTAGAAACACACACAATACCTTTACATTGACTCTCAATTCAGACTTGCATTACCTTTAAAGTCCTGTCCATATCACACATCAGTGTCTTGCACCCAGCTATTTATCTAAAATACAAACACCATATCAACCATATCAATAATATCATGCCTTGCGATCTCATAAGCAGAATACATTGTACTTCCACAATCAAATTTGAAACACTTTTCTCATTGCGCATTGAGCAAGCTTTGAGATTGATTTGGTGCTCTAAAAATGTACATTATTATTATTGTATTGTTTCATTGCCTTGTAAATTTCCATGAGCTCTTCAACCAAGTGCAGCTAGCTAGACATAAGAACAAAACTCTGCAGGGACTATGGTATTTCATACATGACAAGAGAACCAAATTGCTCATGGGGTTCTGACTGTGTATTCTAAATAGTCCCCATTGCACAGAAGAGAAATAATTTATAAAATATCTACCATTTTTAATGATCCTTTCAAAAATTCAATATGTCTTAAATGTAATTTATTTATATGCAGAGACAAAGCACAGTTATCATTGGAACTAGGTGATCATATGAAGAAAATGACAGCCGATTATGAAAATCTGGACAAGATTTCAATACAAGCTGATATGTGGCGTAGTAAATTTCTTGCAAGCCGGTAATTAAACATTTATACATTCATCCTTCCTTTTGATTATCATAAGGAAATTGGTGTTAAAGTAAATAAAGGATTGTGTTGACAGATAAGGCCCCGAGTTCACAAAGCATTCTCAGACTTAAGTTAAGAATTTACTCAAAATTGTTTGCCTTATTTGATCTAAAATATAGCCCTTTATAAAATTTCTTTTGTTTAAATGTATCATATACATCTATAAGATACTATGAGCAAAGTTTTGGATCAAAGATGTTTCTCATAAACAGTGATTGAAAGTTGAGTAAATTCTTATCTTAAGGCTGAGAATGCTTTGTGAACTTAGTTGAAGATTGTGTTGACAAAAAGTCAAGTTTGATAAATTTGATCAATTTTGTGGTGTCTTAAAGATCCATTTTGCAAGAGCTAAATCTGCCTATTGAGGGTCTTTTTTCTGTAATTAACCATGATGACATGATTCATCTCTTTTCTTTTGTCGGAAATGTAACACATTATTTTCATATTTACTCAAATTTCTTTGTTTTGGGATTGAGAAATTTAATTCAACTAGTTTTAATTTAGAACACCTAATAATTTTTATACATCAAATTTTTAAAATACACATTCTCCCCAAAAAAAGTTTATTTTGTAAGGTTCTAAACATGGTGCCTGTTCATTTTTTTTTTCATTTTAGGGTTATGATAGATGAATTGGCCAATGCCAAGGCTTTTTATTCTCTACAATATCAAGAATCTCAAGATGCCTTACAGCAGATGTTAAATGAACGTCATGAAATCAGAACAAATCTGCTTGAAGGATACAGGTAATACACAATTCTTGATCCCAACATCTTGCCCTAACAGCAGCAGTTTTAAGATATATTCAATCAAAGTTCGGATTTTCATTCATTTCATATCCTAAGCTCTTCCAATTTTGGGGAGACACCAAGGTTCAAAAGAGTAAGATGCTGGATTGCTAACTAAAAGGCCTTGGGATCGCCCATCTGGATTGTTCCAAAAGTGGAATCTCCTTGTCAGTGGTACAAGATGGAGGGCCTGGCAAGGAACAGTGTTTGGTGATTCAGATTGGATGATAAAATACAAGGTCATGTGTTCACATGCACGTAAAAGAACCCTTGACAGTTGGAGTTTGAAATAAGAGCAGGCTGTAGGCAAAACTTCCCTCATTGCACACTGATGGCATATGCCTGTTTAAAAGTAGGAAGTTATTTCATTTATATTTCAATTTTGAAACATATCCATAGAAAGTTATTGTCAACTAAACTTATGTGACAATGGATGTGCTATATTACCTGTAGTCTTATTATTATCACCAAGTTTTAGGTAATAATGTTTTCACGTTATGATATATAAAACTAAATTCTTGCATAAATATGCAAATCGTGTCATACAGAACAAGTTTTTTTTTCAGTAGTAAATAGATAAGACATAAAGATAAATATTTGAAAAATATGTAATCATATCATTTCAAACGAATGATTATCACTCACTTAATTTCAGATGCCTACAGCAAGTAAAGGATGCGTTTGATCCATTGAATACTCATCAATCAACTGTCTTGCCTTCAACAAATATATTAGATCTAGCAAAACGTGCACAACAGTTGGCAGAAATTATCCGCTACAGATTACTTCCTGCAAGCGCCAAAGTTCATTCTGTTGTAAATGTGGAAGCAAACTGGCAAGACAGACTAACCCCAGCAGAGACATTAGCACATGAGGTTAGTAAACTAATCAAGTTCATTGATGTAAATTGATCATGGTTTTTGAATGTCATAAATATCAGTGGAATATATTTTTTGCCAGTTACTGCCAATAGCCAATACTGTTTCCGGTGATCAGCTTATCAAATGCTACATTAACAAACGTTATCAAATTAACAAACATTAGATATTTTTGAGACTACTTTAATTGAGAGATAACTTTTGTAATGAATAAAAAGTTAGAAACTGCTTCACTTTTCATCACTAAAAATCACTGCCTATCCTATGATTTCCATCTGGAAATAGAAAATCTGCTGTGTAAGTCAAGCAATGATATTTGATCCAATACCAATTTATATGTACATGTAGGTTACTAGTAGCACAATGAGTTGAAAGAAACTTTGGAATGGGCGATTGTGATATTTTTGTTTTAGATTTATTTTGTAAACCTGTGATATTTTATGATTAAAATGGGTAAGAAGTACATATATAGGCTATTCTTTCTTCTAGGTAATTTCTAAAAATGTCAGCCCGATAGACTACAAGTACAGCATGCCTCAGTCTTTATTGGGTTCTACATGTGCAAAGGGTAACATAGGACGCTACCATCCACACACAGCTTATGATAACTTGACCTATAACTGCTGTGCCAAATGTAAAGGAGAAATCTCAGTCCTCTAAAAGATAATTGGTGCAGGAGAAAAATGTCACAACTCTACAAAACAAGATAACCTCGCATGTCAAAATTCAAGATCTAATCAATTTACAAATATATTATTTATGGTTTTAAAATTACTCTTTTAATACAATCTTTTAATATATAAGACTGTGTAAAGGAAAGAATATGAATTTTACTCACATATTAATGTATATTTATATTATCCATTGAAAGGTGGTGGTAAAAAAATTTGTAAATGAAATACATAATATAAATTTTATTCACATATTAATGTTTTTTTTAGCCTAGGTATTAGGTATTCCATTAAAAGGTATAGAAAAGGAAAGAAAACAAAATATTTAATAATCCAAAATCAGACTTTGTTTAAAATATATTTGCAATGTTTTGTTGCTTGTCTGGTAAGGTAAATGAAACAAGGTCTAAACTCCTCTAGTGAAAGTGATGTAAATACTCCATACCCCCCAATATTCTGTGTACTTTAGTTAGTGTAACTGATAAAAACGAAAGGATTAGATTATCATTTGGAGTGAAAATCTTGATTCACATCAAGGTAATTTCAATCATTTAACAGTTATATTAAGTTGAAATATGATATATCTATATGCATGCCTATCTAACTAGTCATATTGTAATTATTTTATGTTTAATTTAAGATGTATAACCTGTTATTTACTTCTATTCCTCATAAATCACATTTACTTCGTTTGAAAAAGTCGGTTTTCATGTACCATATTTTTCGGGGTATAAGTTGATACATTTTCCGCTTAAGTCTGGCCTTCATACAGATGAAGGTGAAAAAATGACATCTTGAAAAAAAAATAATTTCAGGAACCGTCACTCCACAATGCCGTACACACTATCGTCTAAAACAAAACTACTTTAAGTTACCCTATTCCAATTGAAATATTTGTAGACATGGCCCCCTCCCCCCACCCCCTTCAAAATATTATCATCTACCCGAGAATATGCCATCAAAATAGAATCTTTTCTCAGACATTCGTCAAAATTGTCAGGTTTCCATTTCTCGTAATTTCATGTGTCTCGCGAGATTTCTACTTTTAGTTTTCAGTTAAATTAACCAATCATACTATACTGCATTGTTTTATTCTATTTTTAGTAAAGTACTTTATTACCATATGCGATTAGAAACGACGCCTGCATTGTTTTATATTTATCAGATATATTGAAATAAAAACTGGTTCAAATAAACCAAGAACACAACTTGGAGTTATAATCAAGTTAGCCCTACATTTATAAATTGATTACTTTATCGTAATTAGACTAGGATACCAGTCCTGAAACTTGATAATAGATTGCTACTGTGGAGTTGAAACACATTTGTCTTGTATACTGCTTAGACTTTTATATGGATGAAGGTCGGAAAACAGTAAATTATGACAATTCGACTTAGACTCCACATCGACTTGTACCCCTTAAAATACGGTAATTTATTGAAGTTTAAGATTATTAGTTCAAAAAAGGTCTAAACCTTATTTACATGTATGAGAATAGGGGCCATGAAATGATTTTATTGCTCATTTTTACATGCCAACCTTTCATGTTGGTATATTACTGTCATCCCTGTCCTTCAGTCTCTGTTCACAAGTTTCGCCCCCCTGTGAAAAAATTGTCGACCATAGATATACATTGTATACATTGTCCGTCAATTTTACAGCACCTCTGAGAACACTCCTCTACAGGTGTGTTTGACTTCATAGAATTACTGTTGCTGATGCTGAAACCTTGTAGAAACCCTACAGTTCAGTTTTTGATAGATTATTTTCAAAATTTGACTGGGATTGTTCAGCTAGTCTTACGAAAGCTATTACGCTTGTCACTGATAAACCGGGTAAAATTTCTAGAGGTCAAAGTTTTTGATGATTTTTTAGTCAGACTTGCTGAGATTATTTAGCTAATCATAATAAGGATCCCTATCATAATTCAGAATCACATGCCCTTGAAACCTATGTGAAAATGCTCTTGGTGGGCGTGTATGTGTTTCCTAGTAGCATTATATTACACCTTAACAATTTCTCAAATTTGTAATTCCCCCTCTGCCAAAATATAAAATCCTCAAGATATTTTTTGGGACTATGTTGGTGGGATATTTCAAAAGAGAACTACTGGTACATTATACCTGCCAACATGTGAATAGTAGCACAGGAGGACCACACCACACACAAACAATTACACAAGACAATATACATACACCACAAATAACAAAACGCACATATCAGACCAAGTGAATGGATCCACGTTCTCTCTGTAACTGGAGTAATATTTGAGTTGACCCCCCACCCCCCTCCCCATGGGCCTTTGCACATGTTGGTCACACACTTACATACAACCTTATTTAACTTACTTATAGTAACATACGTTTACGCAAGTGTCATGTTAGAGAGCTCAGTAAAGCTGTTACTTTGTTTTGTTGTTTAAAAAAAAGAAGGGATTTTCCCTTATGTAAATATGTGCACTTGTGTAAATATAAAGTATGTATAATATATGGTAAAAATGAATATGTACATTTATTAAAATGTTTACATAGAGCAGTGATTGTAAATATGGAATGAATCTGATGAAATAAAACCAATCTATATTTTTGTTAGCCTGAAATAAAGGTATACTTATAACTTTGTGTGGGTTTTTTTTAAGCCTGTTTGGTATACAATAAGGTTTTGATTCGGAAACAACAGCCATATAAAATATAAGGGTTTATTGTTCCGTCATGGCATTCATAGGTGTACCAACAGTTCTGTACAGATATCAGTTTTTATACCCCCACATTTTCATGTGGATGTATATTGTCATCGCCCCTGTCCATCCGGATGTACGTCCGTCTGTCCACAATTTGTTTGTGGACACTCTACAGGTCACAATCCTTATCCGATTTTGATGAAACTTGAAATATAGATTTATCTCAAAAAGATCTCAGTTCCTTTTGATTTGGGCATGTATAGGATCGAAACTTCATGGATTATGGCCCCTGATTGTACGAAAATCACATTTTTAGCTTGTGGACATTCTAGAGGTCACAATTTTCTTCTGCTTTTAATGAAACTTGTAATGCATGTTTATAACCCAAAGATCTTGGCCCTTTCAATATTTGCTCATATCGGATCGTAACTTCCTGAATTATGGTCCCTGGTAGTACGAAAAATTGCGTTTTTTGCTTGTTGTCCCTCTAAGATGTCACAATTATTATCCGATTTAAAATATCTGATTTCGAATATATCACCGTTACACCATAATGATGGTTGAGTTTGAATTTCGTGAAAATCGAACCAAAACTGCCGGACAAAAAGGTCGCCAAAAAGGTCGCCCCTCGTACCAAATAGTGTAAAAATATGGTATATCAAAGTTGTGGACCCTCTACAGGTCACAATTTTGATCCAGTTGTGATGAAACTTGAACTACATGTTTATTACCCAAAGATCTTGGTTCCTTTCAAAATTTGCGCATATTGGAACGTAACTTCCTGAATTATGGCCCTTGAATGTACGAAAAAACATGTTTTTAGCTTGTGGTCCCTCAAGATGTCATAATTTTTATCCGATTTAAAAAAAAACGTTTGACTATATCACCGTTTCACCCTAGTGATGGTTCAATTCGAATTTCGTGAAAATCGGACCAAAACTGACGGACAAAATGGCCGCCCATCGTACGCAAATAGTGTAAATATATGGTATATCAAGGATGTGAACCCTCTAGAGGACACAATTTTGATCCGATTTTGATGAAACTTAAAATACATGTTTATAACCCAAAGATCTTGGTTCCTTTCGATATGTGCATATCAGATGGTAACTTCCTGAATTATGACGCTTGATTGTACACAAGCATTTTTAGCTTGTGGTCCCTCTCGAGGCTAAGAGCTCACAATTTTTATCCAATTTAAAAAAACAAAAACTTTTGAATATATCACTGTTACACCCTAATGAAGGTTGAGTTCGAATTGAAAATCGGACCAAAACTGACGGACAAAATGGCCGCCCCCTGTACGCAAATAGTGTAAATATATGGTATATCATGGTTGTGGAGTGTGGACCCTCTAGAGCCACAATTATGATATGATTTTGATGAAACTTTAAATTTATGTTTATATCAAAAAGATTTTGGTTCCATTCGATAATCACACATATCTGAATGTAACTTCCTGGATTATGGTCCCTGATTGTTCGAAAATCGCCTTTTTAGCTCGTGGACCCGCTAGAAGTCACAATTTGTATTCAATTTTAAAAGAAGTTTAAATATATCACCGTTACACATCAATGAAGGTCGAGTTCAAATTCCGTAAAAATCTGACTCAAACTGACGGACAAAATGGCCACTCCTTGTACACAAATAGTGTAAAAGTATGTAATACTAAGGTTGTGGACACTCTAGAACTCACAATTTTTATCTGATTTTGATGAAACTTGAAATGTACGATTATAATCTAAAGATCTTGGTTCCTTTCAATAATTTTGCATATCGGACCGTAAATTCCTGGATTATGGCTCCTGATTGTACGAAAAATCATGTTTTTAGCTTGTAAACCCTCTAGTGTGTTTAAATGTATCACTGTTACACCCTAATGACCGTTGAGTTCGAAAATCGGACAGAAACTACCTGACAAAATGGCCAGTCTTGTACAGAAATAGTATAAAAGTGTGTAATACTAAGGTTGTGGACTCTCTAGAAGTCACAATTTTTATCCGATTTTGATGAAACTTAAAATATATCTTTATATCCCAAATATCTCGGTCCATTTCGATATTCGCGCATTTCAGACTATAACTTCCTGGATTATGACCCCTGATTGTGCGAAAAATCTTCTTTTCTTTTTAGCTTGTTCTCTATCCATCTCTTGCCTGGCAACCGTTTGTTTGTTAATCTCCACAAAAAAATACCTTTGGGAAACATATCTCCATTTTTATATGACCACTCATGGAATTGTTCATTGGATCGTAAGAAAGATTCCAATAAAAATCCATAAGTTTTTTTTATTGCATATTCGGAAGTTTATGAATATATTGTGTTAGCAATACAGTTGAAAGTTCATGATAGTATCAACTGGGATTGTTCCTTGGGGTATATTTGTCCCCCGCCTTTCGAAGAAAGCAGGGGACTATTAAAATGGGTTCGTCCGTCCGTCTGTCTGTCTGTCTGTCTGTCCGTCTGTCTGTCCGTCTGTCTGTCCGTCACACTTTTTGGGACACAATAACTCTCTCCCTAATTGAGCTAGAATGTTCAAACTTGGTGTATGTGTTTATTAGGTCAATGCCTTGATGGAGTTCGAAGATGAGCATTTTCCGCTTAGGGTAAGCAGTGTTAAGCAATTTGATTGGTTGATGCTTTGGGACACGATAACTCTCTTCCTAATTGGGCTAGAATGTTCAAACTTGGTGTATGTGTTGATTAGGTCAATGCCTTGATGGAGTTCGAAGATGAGCATTTTCCGCTTAGGGTAAGCAGAGATAAGCAATTTGATTGGTTGATGCTTTGGGACACGATAACTTTTAATTGAGCTAGAATGTTCAAACTTGGTGTATGTGTTTATTAGGTCAATGCCTTGATGGAGTTCGAAGATGAGCATTTTCCGCTTAGGGTAAGCAGAGATAAGCAATTTGATTGGTTGATACTTTGGGGCACGATAACTCTCTTCGTAATTGAGCTAGAATGTTCAAACTTGGTGTATGTGTTGATTAGGTCAATGCCTTGATGGAGTTCGAAGATGAGCATTTTCCGCTTAGGGTAAGCAGAGATAAGCAATTTGATTGGTTGATGCTTTGGGACACGATAACTTTAATTCTAATTAAGTGAGATTGATGAAACTTGGTGTATAGTTTCATTACAGTAATACCTTGACTAAGTTCGATAATGAGCATTTTCTGCTCAGGGTAAGCAGAGCGATAAGCAATTTGATTGGCCGAGACTTTGAAACACAATAACCCTCCTTCTAATTGAGCTAGAATGTTCAAACTTGGTGTTGGTGTTTATTAGGTCAATGCCTTGATGGAGTGTGAAGATAAGCATTTTCTGCTTAGGATAAGCAAAGATAAGCAATTTGATTGGTTGATGCTTTGTTTGGGACACAATAACTTTAGTTTCAATTAAGTGAGAGTGATGAAACTTGGTGTATAGTTTCATTACATCAATACCTTGACTAAGTTCGATGATGAGCATTTTTTGCTCAGGGTAAGCAGAACGATAAGCAATTTGATTGGCCGAGTCTTTGGAACACAATAACCCTCCTTCTAATTGAGCTAGAATGTTCAAACTTGGTGTAGGTGTTTATTAGGTCAATGCCTTGATGGAGTGCGAAGATAAGCATTTTCGGCTTAGGGTAAGCAAATATAAGCAATTTGATTGGTTGATGCTTTGGGACACGATAACTTTAGTTCCAATTAAGTGAGAGTGATGAAACTTGGTGTATAGTTTCATTACATCAATACCTTGACTTAGTTCGATGATGAGCATTTTCTGCTCAGGGTAAGCAGAGCGATAAGCAATTTGATTGGCCAAGACTTTGGAACACAATAACCCTCCTTCTAATTGAGCTAGAATGTTCAACCTTGGTGTAGGGGTTAATGAGGTCAATGCCTTGATGGAGTGCGAAGATGATCATTTTCTGCTTAGGGTAAGCAGAGATAAGCAATTTGATTGGTTGATGCTTTGGAAGTGGAACACGATAACTTTAGTTCTAATTAAGTGAGAGTGATGAAACTTGGTGTATAGTTCATTACATCAATACCTTGACTAAGTTCGATGATGAGAATTTTTTGCTTAGGCCAACGAGCAATAAGCATGTTGATTGGTCAAACTCTTCTTCTAATTGAGGTAGAATGTTTAAACTTGATGTAGATGTTCGTCTTGACTGAGTTCAATGATTAACATATTGAGCTAAAGCTAAGCAGAGATAAGCAATTTCCTGCTTTGGGACAAGATAACTTTGATTCTATCTGATAGAGAGTGATGAAACTTAGTTTATAGTTGATAATCAGTTTGATTGCTTGATACTTTGGAAAAAAATAGATGTGCGATTAATTAATATGTGTCATCTATTTATTTGGGGATTTCGGCGGGGGACATCAGCCTCACTGTTGGCTTGTTTGTTAAAGCTTGATACAGAGTTCATAGTATTATGTTTTAAATCTTGTCCCGTGGAATTTGTTTTACAAAGAATTGTGGAGCCAGCACTGACAGCATTGTTGCAGACGGGTGTATTACTAGTGCGCCAACAGAAATGTCCGATAATTGTCAGAAAAATAGTGCCATAGACCAATAAAAGTGTCAGCTGAAGGAAAGTCAAAAGACAGATGACTTTTTCATTTTATATTTTATATTCAATCCTTAGAATCTAAATTTTAGCAGAGCATTCAATTTTGCCAGTAATATCTTCCCAGGAACCAGGCCAAATAAACCTGATATCATGAGCCAAACCGTGACGCCAATAATATTGGGTTATAGGGTGTTTTAACACCTTACTCGTACTATATAAGAAGTTTAATATGGGCGGTTGTACGTGACAAGGAGTAGGGTCGTCTGACCAACCTTGTGGGTTTTCTCCGGGTCCTCCGCGGTTTCCTCCCACTTCTAAAGACCCCTATGCGCAAGCAAATTATTGAAATAAAATTAAACCATATGTTAGCCCCGAAATGACCTAGTTTGTGTCGAGTGGGCGTTAAACCCCATTTCTCTCTCTCTTTAATATGGTGATTGAACTGGCAGTCATGAATAGCGAATTTTAAGTGACAAGGTCCCTGGTCCTCTTATATTTTTTTGCTTTTTGCCTGTTCACTTTTAAACGAAGATGTCCGAATGATGCTCGCCACAAAGTTCTATATTTGCTATACGGTCTATATATTTCATGGGTAACTAGACTCTCAACTGTTATGACACCTTAAAATAATGAATAATTACTGAAACCTGGCAGAAAAGGTAAATCCAGAACCATTTCTTAATTTCTACACAAAAAATCGGGATGCAATTTAAGGTGGGAGCGAGAGAAAAACTAGTGGTTTGGATCCAGATACATAACACTATATTAAATGCTAGGCCGTTTGAGGATATCTAAGATAAAAACTAATATTAATTGTTATTATATTTATCGTGACTCTACCCAACAAAAAATAGTAAAATCCCTATTTTTTTCCATCCGAAAACTCTACGTTCCGAGTGAGTTTCTCATGGTTGGATAATTCTCCGGATATCCAGACCAGTACCGGATATCCGAGTTATTGACCAATGAAACTTCATGTTTTAAACTTGTTCGGTGGCGGTTGCTACAACAACACAAATAAAAACCATTCTTACCTGTATATTTTGTTGTTTTTAACCAGTTTAAGTTGAAATTAGAGTGTTGTCATCACTGTACAAGGGAATAGACATGGTATGTATTTTTTTACTTTGCATTGTAATCGGCGTACGGTATTTGTACGTTTTTTTTAAATGATGTGATGAAATGTAGATCGACAAATCCCAATTTTTATTTCCATTTTTCAGTTTTATTTATGTTATGCCTTGGCTAGACCTACATACAGGACATACATTATACATCCGACTATTTTTTTTCAACAGGAAAGTTTCTGAAAATGAATTCTTACTGCATAAGGAAAGTTTTGCTAGTAGATTCTAATATGATGTGGTTAGAAATACTATGTCTAGACTATAGGCCTTATACTAACTAAGTATAAGGCCTATAGTCTATAGTCTATAGACATAGTGTTTTATAGATCTAACTGTCTGAACCCGTTGTAATTAAATGGATTTCTTATCGATTGTGAACGAACTACAGAATGAGTTATTAAAAACTTGCCTATGTGGTATGTGTTTGAAATCTCCTCTGGTTGAATAAAATCCAAAAATATCCCAACGAAAAAAGAAGTTCTCTTTTAAAATGTCATGATGTTTTGGCTTGTATTTTCGACTGTTCATCAACTTGAACTTCATCACAACATTGTCAAAGTCAATTGAATATGGAAGGCCTACAATTCTTGTTTGTATATTATTTGTCAGCGAAAACAACGAAGCTAGCTGACACCAAAGTGTCCAAAGTATCTTTCTAGACGACCAGAGATTGCAATTTAAACAACATTTTTATAATACAAAAATAGAGTTTAATAGCCTACGATGATGTACCCGTTTAGAAAATAGGTTGAAGGAATCATTGAGTTAGATTGTTCTATTTTCCACAAATGCACCGAACTGCACTCTCGGTTGGTAACACTTTTATAAAACATTTTGATCGTTTGAAATACAAAGTTACCCTTATATTGGCCTTTATGTGTAGACGACTGAAAGTGGTGTAGAATCATCCAAATTGAACAATATTGCATGCAGAAATGGAAAAATCTTCTCAAGAGTGGGATGGGGGAATGTCCCAGAACCTCCTTGGTTAATTTGCATCTATGTCGCTCAATATCAGCGTCTGCAGAGCTCTTAAGGTTCGGGCCTGTGGCTTGCGAAAAATGACACCTACTTTGATACTTTACCCACCTAATTGATGAAACCCCTGCAGATCGGTACGGTAAAAATCGTGGGGGCAAGTAAAAGCAGTCATTGCAATTGCCCGCTCGGCAAGTAAGTTTGAAAGTTAGTTCTACAGACTGATAGTTCAAAACAGATTATGAGAAATGAATATAGTGAAATTTTAGGCAAATTATTTTATTCTGACGAGGAGCGTAGTTATGAATGATTGTAGTTTTGACAATAGCCTAAATTTCCAGTTCATATTCTTGATTGTCAAGTAGTTAGTACCATTTGCCAGTGCATCTCTAAAATAAACAAAGTCCAAATAGGCCTATATTTAAAATTGATAATTTCTAACATAAGTTATGGCCATGTATTAAAATGTTCCATTTTCTTTCAATTGATTTCATGATATTGTTTTTGCCAGCCATTGATTCGAAGAATCACTAGTTTTTATCCTTGAACATCGATATCAAGATGGCATGTAACCTGTGTTTTATGATTTGATCATATGGATTAAATTACTATCATAGACTACCGTACCTTTTGTATATATTTTTGTTAAATTTAAATATAGAGAATGAAATTAGCATTGTGGCATAGTAAACTGACATTTTGTTGTGCATAATGTATAAAATGTTTATTTCAGGCTGAGGCAGATGAAACATTTACATTTGTTGTAGAATGGTATGAAGAAATAGCAGCTAGAAACAGACAGTTTTTATTGATTTACCATGTCAAGAATAAGGGTGTTGAAATGGTAATTATACATGTAGCTTAATCTGTTTTAATTCTGCTTACCCAGTCACAGTTAGATTTGTGTGGGTGTGCATCACAGACATTATGAGGTTTGTGGTCAGTTTGCCTACTAATAAATTTAGTGTAACAGAAATTTAGTTAAATAGTTTGATTGAGTGCAGGTCTCTTTGTAGTGCTCAGTTAACATGCAACACTATAATGCTTATCACATGCAATAGTGGCATGAAAAGCTTTATATCAATTTGTCGACCAGCCCACTGTTTCTATTCGACTCTTTTAACATAATCAGATGAATATTTTATTTATATGCCTTATAGAATCTTATATTTTGAATATCTTTATTTTTAGTACGATATGAAGAATAGAAAAACATTTTTGAAAACATCGTTACGAGATCATCCCATTGACCTTTCTGATCTTTACATAGGAAGTACAATCAATGTTTTAGGTCGACAATTAAAGGTGACTGAATATGCAGATGAACATACCAGAAGTAAACTATCATCTCAAAAAGAAAAGTAAGTTGAAAGCTCTTAATTTATAATTTAAGAATTCAATTTCTTTTAAATAAATGTATCATTTTCAGTATGCACAAGGCATGCAATGATTATTCAATGAATTATGATTCTCTCAAATCTAAGATTATGCAGTGATTTTATGTCTGTATTGTGAAACATTAACCCTTGTGCGTATACAAGAGGTATTTCAGGACCCTTAACATTTGCGAGGAACTGGTTCACAATTGTCTAGCGAGAATTTTATACATTGTCAGCTACTTAATGTAGAGTATAATGCTGCAAATAGAACGGAAGTGAGGCAGTGGTAACATTCATTTGACAAGAAACTACAAGTATTAGTATTACATTATCAGATACAAGGGGTCTTGTGGACCCTCCTCCTCTTTCATTTCAACATTTTGCTGGTTACAAGTGTCTAATCTGTTCTGCGCTCGGTGCTAGCTTTGTATTTGGAATCTTTCTTACTGATGATATTTCATCCCGCCATTGGTCATTCTAGTAATCTAGATCTGAAAGCAAATCTAGGTACTCTACCAACCCCGTCAAAAGTCGACTCTACATGGAAATGACAATTAAGTTACTTGTAGATTTGTATGGTTTCAAAAATACCTTATAATTCATATCGTCACTGTTAATACATCAAATATCTTTTTTTACTCTGATTGATTATTATTCAATCTTTATATGAAGCTGTAGTTTGATCCTATTTGAATAAAATTATGCATCCAAAAACCAATTTATGTCTGGGGTCTTAGATTACCCCTTGTTGCCGACAATGTTTTTCGTACAACTGTCCGCACAAGGGTTAAGTGGAGTATAAACTCGCTACAAAACTCTTTTTTCATTCTGTTAAATGACCTAAGAAGGCATGCCATAATGGTAAAATAAGATTATATTTTTTAGATCAAGCTAAAATATATGATTAAAGCCTTAGAGTTTTAGAGTTTGTGCATTGATCTTGATGGTTGTGGCTGCCAAGTCGGTTGTATAATTACAATTTTATTGTTTTGTTTACGTGATATTACTCATATTGTGATTGCAAAGTTTGAATTGTGACGTACATCATATCAAGGCTATGGTGTCATTGCAGTCATTGTTTGCACACAAAGCAGCCATGTGGATTTTAGAAATAATGTGCATTCTATATCCTGTTGATCGACTTTCTATACAACAAACAATTGTTAGCTTTGTGATCAATAAAAGCTATAATTTTTCTGTATAAAAATGGGGGTGAAAAAATTCCTTTTTTTAAATTTATATTATCTCAATGTACTATTTGCAACAATATCTACTCTTTTTTTTATTATGAAACATATTTTACATATCTTTACTATTTTTTTTTTTTTTCAGAACACTTGGTTTAATCAAGCCTGATGCAATGAACAAAATTGGTCAAATTCTTGATCACGTCTATAGAAATGGTTTCATGATAACTCGACTTAAAATGTGCAAACTAGATCGTAACGAAGCTTTTGAAATGTACCAGGAACACAGAGGGAAACCTTTCTTGAAGTAATTACATTCTCTTTCGCTCTATATTCACAGAATACAACCATATATACTATTCAAAAAAAGTAGGGGATATTTGATTTGTAAGTGTTATTAAAGTCACCTAATGAAACTGACGAAGAAACAAATGACAAAATGAAATGAAGTTCACATTCATCGATTTATTCCAAATGATCGTTAGACTAAGTAAGGCACAGTCTGACCATTATAAGGGTAAAATGATACCCGGGGTCAAACAGCAAAGTTACCACAGCATCACAACCAAGTCAGTAACGGGTAAATCCTCCTCTGTTTGCCAAACAAGCATTGATCCGACGTGGCATACTCCTAATGAGACGTCTAAGGTCATTTTGGTCCAGATTGTCCCATTCCTGTTGCAACGCAGCAGTAAGTTCTTGGACATTGGCAGGACGTTGTTGACGTTGACGTAACCTCTGTCCAAGCATGTCCCAGACATGATCGATGGGTTAGAGGTCGGGATTCAGTGCTGGCCAAGGTAATGTGGTGATGTTCTGTTGTTGGAGGTAACCTGTAACGATCCTGGCCCTGTGACATCTTGCGTTGTCATCCTGGAAGATGAAACGGCGGCCATGACGTCGTGCGAACGGCACAACATGGACTGCCAAGATGTTGTCCCGGTAGTACTGGCCTGTAACACACCCTGCAACAACATGTAAAGCCGTTCTTCCAGCAACAGTGATGTCTCCCCACACCATAAAAGAACCACCCCCAAATCGATCATGTCTGATGACGTTAACGTCTTGGAAGCGCTCGTTTCGACAACGCCACACCCTCCTACGTCTGTCCAAAAAATCAACAGTGAACCTTGACTCATCTGAAAACATCACATTGCTCCAGCGTCGATTATCCCAGTGTTGACGATCCCTACACCAACGACGTCTTGCCTGAATGTGATGATCTCTCAAACAAGGGATCACGCGAGGACGTCGGGCGCGAAGGTGACCCCTATGCAGTCGATTCCGAATCGTCTGGCCACTCACTCTCACACCAGTGTCTGTTTGAAGACGAGCGCTGATCTGATTTGCTGTGATGACACGATTTCTCAAGGCCAAGGTACGGATAAATCGATCCTGGGCTTGAGTTGTCGCCCTTGGTCGACCTGAGCGTGGTCTGTCCTGTACAGATTGTGTATCACGGTATCTGGACCATAGCCTGCTTATGACAGACTGAGAAACATTCATCGTCCGCGCCACAACCGCCTGTGTTGTGCCGATCTGTAGCATGCCAAGGGCACGTAACCTTTCATTTTGAGTAAGCCGACGCATATCAAAATTTGTTTTCTGGTCACTAAAACAATTAAACTGATGTTTCCACCCTGGAATTCAATGCCACAATGACTGTAACATTCAAAGTCAGAGTCGTGCAAATCTTGGGTTGGACCCCCATGATGATCCCAAGCATCACCTGCATTCCATGCGGTAGCTATTGGTGCGTTTGGGCGTCACATGTAACTGGAAATGTTTCTTCTGTTAGGTTCTATAGTGACTTTTTTCGTAGTCATTTGCATATTTTAGTATTATGCCCCCAAAATCAAATATCCCCTACTTTTTTTGAATAGTATATAAGCTTGTTAGGTTGATTCACAAAGGACATATTTAAGCTTATTACTCAAAGGAAATACATGTCAACCTTGTTTGTATGGACCTTGTGGCGTCGGAAAAAATTGATCAGACTAATGAAAATTGTATCACATTGTGACTGTTATATTAATTTATGTTAAAATGAGTCTTGTTTTATAATATTTGTTTCTGCATAACTATAGGCTTAAACATAATGATTTATCTTAATCTAAAGATGACTTGATGTACTATTTTACAATTTAAATTTGGCATTGTGCACAAAATGTGTCCTGAATTATTTCTCAAAATTCATTTATTTTTTTATGTTTACAGTGATTTGTTAGAATATGTAACAAGTGGACCGGTGTTAGCGTTTGAAATTGTTGGTCAAAATGCCATAACCAATTGGAGAAAAACAATCGGCCCAACTGATCCAGCCACAGCCAGAAGTGAGGCACCAAATAGTATTCGAGCTCAGTATGGCACAGGTTAGTTAAATCTTGAATTTATTTTCTTCTATTGTATCTTTTTTACACTTGTTCAATTATAAATATGAAAGACTAGGTTTAATTCCAGATACAGTCCAAGAGTTAAATATGATGCTTTTGGTTTGGCATGAAAAAAGGTCTGAAATATAGTCAAAATCGGATCAAAGACAAATTGTGTATATTTGGCAAAATAAATCAAAACATGCAATATGAGCCAAAGTATCAGTTTAAATATATCTTGGATACCGGTAATTAGTTTAAAAGTTTGTGCACATGCTTTTTCGGAAAATAAAAAATAAAGTTATAATTTTAAGACAGATGTATGATGGAATGAAACACAAAATCAGTAAAAATATAGGTTTTGTGTGATATCTGTAATAAGATGAGCTGCTTGCCACATGTTTCTGTTCACCCCGTGATGGGCACATATTTATACACTTTTTAACCAATAATGAAAATTGCACAAATTGTAATCTTTTTACTGAAATACACAAAATGATTTTGTTTATTACAGATAAAACAAGAAATGCTTGTCATGGGTCAGACAGTCTTACATCTGCTGCGAGAGAATTAGAATTTTTCTTCCCTTCGACTGGTCCTAAAAGACGTAACACAGCTCAGTTGTCTGATTGCACTTGTTGTGTTATTAAACCTCATGCTATAAAATCAGGTAGGTTAAATCATTTATCTCTAGCTTGTTCTCCAGGGTCTGCAAAGTTATCAGAAACCTTTAAACCCCATTTACACTAAGAATATGGAATGGTACTCAGTCCTGACTGAAATTGCTCTGTATGTTCGGTCAAGTAAAGAGGTTGAACCATCCTCAGTCCTGACCCAGAACAAGCCTATCTAAATCTAATCATTGAGTTTTTAAAGTTTTGTTATTTATATTAATAGGTTTGACAGGAAAAATTATCAATGCCATTTTGGAAGCTGGTTTTGAAATATCAGCTTTACAAATGTATAATCTGGAAAAAGCTAATGCAGAAGAATTCTATGAGGTTTATAAAGGAGTTGTTCAAGAATACAATGGAATGGTAGCAGAATTAACTTCTGGGCCTTGTATTGCCTTAGAAATCCGAGCTCAAGATGCAGCCAAATCATTTAGAGAAATGGCTGGACCAGCGGATCCAGTAAGTACTGTACATTAATGTGACTGGATTTCAATTGAAATGGCAAGACAGAAAATTACTTTTAATGAGTTTTAATTCATAGTATGTTTTTGACTAGAATGTTTATTTATGGCTGTATGAAAGAATACTGCATAACCTCCATGCCAATGTACATGTACATCAGAAATGACATGCTTTTTTTTTTTTATTACAGGAAATTGCTCGTCATCTAAGACCTAGAACACTTCGTGCTTTATTTGGATCAGATAATATCAGGAATGCTGTTCATTGTACAGATTTACCGGAAGATGGCAGCATGGAGGTAAACTGGATTATATCATCATAATTATTAAAGTAATGTTAAACACTTTTATGTTTTGTTCATTAGGACATAATTCAACAATATGGTTAATGTATTGTAAATCTGAGCAGTTGAGATAGCATTATTTATTTTTATTGTTTGTCATTTCAGGTGGAGTACTTCTTCAAGATATTAGAGCAGTAAAATATTTTCATCATCTGTACCTTCTTACAATACAGCATTGTTATTTTATACTTATATACATAAGTCAATTTTTATATGTAAATAATACTATTTATTATATATAATGTAAAATAATGTCTTAGTAATATTATTTGGTAATTGTTTTATATGTAATATAGACCAGTGATAATAAATGAAATATGAAATAATAAAAATTTTCTGTAGGTCTGAGTCACAAACGGTATATTACATTTACATATTAGTTAGGAATATCTAGATATATTTTATTGAAAGATGGTCACACCCACATCAGAGCTATGTCTCAGCAGCAGTTTATCCATGAGGACAGCTTGGATGTTTACCAATTTTATAGGGATCTAGGATCCTGCAGGTAACGGACAGACTGGACCAAGGTTAAGGAATTAAGCTTTATGAAATTTTTAGTTTTCATGTGGGGTGGGCCACAGCTCCCAAAATACCTTGCTGTGTACGTGCTAGCATAACCATGTCTATATTTACCAGCTGAAGTTACACTGATTATTATTTATAATTCACTGGTGAATTGCTTTAATTGGGTGATTACTGTAACTTGGTCTTCACAAGAGCTGCACATTCTGCTCGTGTCAATCTAGGTTGTTTGACGTTTCTGATCGGCAGATCAGTTAATTTTAACTTTTTACAAACTACAATATTCCGAAAGCGGGTAAATTCCGTTCTGTATTTACACAGAGATGATGAATTGAAAACATCAACATTCTGCCAATTATAATCAATGAATACAATTTAGCATGATTTTAATCGCGAAAATAATTAACGAAAATTGCAAATGACGATCAGCGGCTTTGTCTGAAAAGGCAGACCTGTCATGGAGGATAGCTCTTTACTCCATCAAACCTCAATCATTTCAAATGGAGGAGCCTTATGCTTTTTACAAGTGTGACTGTAACCGGTTGGTCAGTAATGAACGAGATGAGACGATCATCTCCATCACGTGCCTTTACAAACCTAAGTCAAATTTGTTTCTGTGAAAAGAATTATTAAAGATACATAGGTAGTTAAAGTGTTACCTCAGATATGATCCGGAAACGAAACCGAGACGGAGCCCATTTCAATATCCCCCCCCCCCCCTTTAACTTCACGGGATGAATGAAATGGGGTGGATTTACGTCCTACTTTTCTGCTCCGACTAGGCTAATGTAGACGGGCATAATAATAATAATAATGCTTTATTCAGAAATAAGATCATATGATCCATAAAAACAAAATACATATATTTCAATATACATATAAGTCGAAACTATTTACATAATTGTAAACATTAAAAATTGAATGTAGCTTATGTAAATATTTTATTTATTTGATAAAAGTACTTTTTACATTGTCCCAACTTCTATAATCATGCTATTTTATAAAACAATGATAATCATATAATGTTTGTAACATAATTAAACATACATTATGCAAGAGCCAAATCTGTCTATTGCAGGTCTTTCTTTAGGGCTGAAATGTCATGTAAATTATTAGACATTAATTAACTTATCCAGACTATAAGCAACCTCTCAATGTCATTGCTTGCCTAGGATATTTAATGGATTACAATCCGATCTGCTGCTCAACGCTCATTGATGATTAAATCAAAAAATGGATAATCGAGACTTTTTATCGTTCCGACTTTAGTAATGATGATCGAGGCTAGGCCTAAAATTCAATCGCTAAATTCTCTGTTCAAAGTGCTTTGACGGAAATTTTCAGCAAATTCCCTTTACATTATCTAGTATTTATCTATTATACTTATAGTGAGAACTGCCAGCTTTTTATCTAATCTCCCATAATGTATCTTTAACTACAGACGTCTGAAAGGTGTTTTTTTGGAGATATGTCGATAAAGATGAAAGAGCGTTAAGATCGGAATCAGCACATACTTGGCCAAATTTAAATCGATTAGGATATTGACAAATATATTGTAGCGGTAAAAAGGTTACCCTTTTAATCTTTTTAATATTTACATTCTTATATAACATAACCATTCAAAGTGCTATGAGGGAATTTTTGCTTGGTCAGACGCGCTACGGATTCCAACTGTCTATACACTGTCACTCACAATCTGTTTCACAGAGAATTACGGGTCTAGATTAATATCTCTGTCAAAGATGACTGCCTTAACACGTGCCGTCACAGCACGCGGCGTCAATCATTGGCTGAATGGCGCGTGCATTGTTTACCCAAGACATTACTGCTTCGGGCGGAATGCTGCCTTTTAGTCATTTTAATATCCATTTACACTAAATAGGAAATAATTTTTACCTACAAATACGTCAAACGCTTTTATTTATTTTTCCAATACATAAAAAAAAAGGTTTTAGAATTTAATTTGTCGCAGGAAAAAAGTTAATAATTCTGAGTCATTGAGTCGCATCGATGTCATCCTTATCAGTGATTGTAGCGGCCTAGCGAAAAATTCACTGCTGATCAGTGTGTGTCACTCACTGTCCTTATCGGGCGCCAATTAGTCCCGCTACTGCCAGTCATGTGATGTAAACCCACCAAATTATATTTTAACAATCCACACGCGTATTTTAATTTTGTTTTATATATGAATACATACTACAAAGCTGTTATATAAACTTTAGATAATCAATACATTGCTACATAATTAAGATGATGACATTACGTAAAAATATTTTAAATATGCATTATTTCAGAAATATGGACAGTAACATTCGTTTTGTACTAAAAATAGCTTAAAGATGCATTATTTAAAAGCTATATCTATTGCAAGTCTTTCCTACATTCAAGTATTATGAATTATTTAGACACACAGGCTGTAGTTGGGCAAAACAATTTTATCGGGCGATCATCCAGTATTTATAGCAGTGGCCATCAAAGGAAGAAATATAAAATTTTAGTGGATATAATATGAAAAATATAAAAGTTTTTCCTTCCCGCAAAATAAAGTGACCGAAATCCGGAAATTTTACTGACTAGAGGGTGGGGTGATGCAATTTCCCACTGGAGTTTCAGAAAATCACACAATTCTGACTTTGATTCAGTGTGTCTAGTTCTCAAACCCAAACTGCAGTTCTTGAAAATTTGCTCAGCTCGGCGCTACTTGCTGATCAGTCTATCAGTTCAAGTTATGTAGGTTCATTTTTCAGGCAAAAATCCCCCCCCCCTCCCCGAAAATCGACCTGTACGGCTATGTTTAGATATTTGTAAAATGGACAAACCTTCAACTTAAACTTATTTCTAAATTCTTAAAAATACGATTAGAGACCAGTCTATTATTGATGATCATACAAAATAATTTACCCATTTTTCTAGCTCTTAAATAAAACTTTACACCCCACTGTCATCTTATATGCACCTAAAGGAGCAGACATGTTGTCTCGGATACGTTATGTAGTTATGCATACTATGAATATACGTAGGTTAATGAGAAAAAGTTGGATTGCACTCTTAAATATCCGAAGATAATTAAAAAAGAAAAAACAAATAAAAAAATAAAGGTACTAATATAAAACGACCAACCCAATATTTTAAACTAAATCTAGATTATACATGACATCAGGGTTATTTAGAAATCTAAATGGTAATTCCTTAAAAAGGCTTGTTCTGAGTATCTTGCCCCATCCATTTCGCTTGCAAGAGCATTGTCATCTCGAAGCCTGTATCCAGATCCACCAATAGAGGTCTGGCATTCTGGACACTTCCCTTCTACAGTGGCACCACCGCACTCACCAATAGCGTATACATGTCCTGAAAAGATAATCAATTATAGTCTATACACGTTCTAGTTCTAGGAGCTAAGTTTCTAACTCAATATTCTCCGGATCCTCCGGTTTCCCCCCACTGCTATTTATGGTTCCAAAAAATAGAGCCATACGCCCTTTAAGGAGATCGGTAATTTCAAGCAGACGGGATAACTTAAGTCGCTCGAGTTTTCACAAGATTCTACTAAGTGAGCAAGAACCACAAGTCAACAATATTATCAAAGAAATTGAGACTTCTTCCGTCTCGATAACCCGAACAAAGCATATAAATTTCAAGCAGATCATAGATTCCACAAAGTATATACAGCATCTATAAATTTTAAAACGATCGGATGATAAATGTGGAAGCATAAAACTGTTTAAAAAGAAAAATGAAACGTTGCAGTTTAATTTTCCTCCAAAGTTAATATTGGATAAAAACGTGTAGAATCTTCTCTAATTTACTTACCATTTTTGCATTTATACCAATGGCCTTTGCTAAGCTGCATGGCACTAACTATCATCACCCTTTCATCATCTGTAATTCCCAAACCAGATGGTGGTGAAATTTGTTCCAGCATTTTCATAGTGTTTTCAAGATCATCTTTATTTTTTTGCGTGAAAGTCAACCCAGTTTCAATGAAAAGTTTACACTTTTCTAATTGTGATTTCGTATTGGAAGGGATTTGTAAACCCCTTTTCTCTATCGTTAGTTCGTTAATAAAGAGTTTGTACAGCAGATTATGTCGAATGAGTTCATTTTGGACATCCTTAATTTCTTGTTCACTCAGTGAAGACCTTTTAACTGTTATCCAGTCAATGAAAGGCTGCAAGCCCAGTTCGATTTCTTTAAACTCATCGTTCCTCAATCTCCCAAGTGTTTCCGATTTAACAAAGTCGTTAAACTTAGAATATCTGTCCGCGGCTTTAACTAAAAAATTCAGTTGGTTTTGTAATGTGATCAATTCTTTCTCTGACACACAAATATCAAGATGGCGACCTAATTCATCAATTGCCTTTACACGATTGCGTCTGTTATTTTCATTGGACACCATGAAAGGGAATTTTGGTGGTTGACATTTCAATGTGGCTTTTCGCAAGTCCCGTTTTATCTGATTCCTACGTAATTCAATATCTGCTCTGTTTCCAATATATTTCTCCTTGACTTGGTCGATGTTTTGTAAAAGTCGATTTATTATGGTGCCATATCGAACGCTTCTTCGTATTGGTGTTTTGCACCTTGGACAGCATTTTAGCTGTACAAAACTAGCTTTATCAGAGGAAGTGTCTTGGTCTATCCATGCGTCCAGGCTGTTATATTCCACGATATGCTTACAGTCTTTTAACTCCACAAATCTTGCATCTGGCTCATCCTCAGTACCAAAGAAAATGTCAGTGACCACATCTGCATTACATCTCCTACAGTAACGAGGACAAGGTTCACCACATAATCCAATGCATGGATGACCACATTTTAAGAACTTCTTACACGGTGAATCACATCGAGGACGATTACAAGGCTCGGAGCACAACATTGTGCATTGGTGGTGTTCACAAGCCCATGTACACGGCTCTTTACACGGTTTGCATAATTCACCGCATGATTTTGTACACTTACTGTGTGGACATTTGTTTCTGCATTTCATTACACATGGAGGGCAGTCAGAACAATATGATTGACAGTTATGAGCACACACTAAGGTTTTCGTGCAATGCTCTTTACATGATTCATGAAGTCTGCCAGACAAACAAGTAGAACATGTACCTCTGCACTGATGACCACAAGCCAGAATCTTGTCACATCTCAATCTGCAGATGGCAGAATCCTTTTCTTCACATTTTACCTCTCCCTTATGTCCACAGGGCCAAGTTTTTGTAATCATTTTTTTACATTGGTGTCTAAAGCCACATTGGTTCCCACATAGATGACCACAAGGAAGGACTTGCATGCATGTCTGTGTACATTTATGGTCCTCGGGTTTCATATGACAAGAAACCTTTTCGAAGTGGCCACAACGTGGTATTAGCTTTGTAACTCTGGTCGTACAATCACCACAATCTTGATAACATTTGCGTTTACATGGGTGGTTACTGCTACAGGTTTTTGGACAGGGTTTGTGGCATTGGTACTCCTCGTGTTCTAAATCAAGTGGATGACACGACATTACACAGGAGTGCCCACAATCTAATCTGGCATTACATAGTTTCTGACACCCTCCAGCAGGGGCTTTCTGGAAATCTCCCGGTTTACCTATCTCGATACCAGGATCTTCGGGGTGATTCTGACACTTCAAAATCAGCCTTTCTCCTATTTCACCCGATTTCTTCAACATAATTGTCATTTCTTTCCATAAAGAGCTTTCAGATTGTAGGATGTCGAAATTACCAATTACATACAGGCCTTTCTTCGCTCTGGACAAAGCTACACAAATACGATTTTCAATTTTTAAAAAACCAATCTTATTTTCATCGTTGCTTCTTACTAACGAGAGAATAATTATATCATTTTCTTCTCCCTGAAAATTATCAACAGGTGTCACTCGGATTCCTTCAAATCGGGTTTTAGGCATAAGCTTTCTTAACTGGAACATTTGACCGGAGTAAGTTGTAAGAATCGTTATCTGCTGTCGAGAGTAGCCTTGTTTTGTTAAGTAATCAGCCAGTGCTACGACAAATTGTGCTTCATAAATATTTGAGTGACTTTTGTTTTCTTCATCACGTTCTTCTTTGTGATTGTGATTAATAAAGAAAATATTCTTTTCCACACCTTTCACGTGTTCTAATCCATGAACCGACGAATGATCTCTGAGTTCAGGATAAATAGGCTTCATCAGTTTGGATATTTCGGGACGCATTCTATGCTGAAGTTGAAGACAGTCACAGTGAACCCCGTTAGTAAGCATTCTTTCAAAAAGAGATATCTGCAGATTATATTGTGTAGCAAGTTTGTAAACGTTTGGGTTTGGTCTCAGTTGTTTATGATCACCTATAAGGATAAGCTGTTCACAATCTTTGGCAAGCGTTGTAATTACATGTCCTTCCAAAACCTCTGCTGCTTCTTCGACAACAATTATTCGTGGATTTATATCTTGAAGGATAGCCTGGTACCTTGCAGCTCCTGTCGTTGTCATGGCAATGACAGAGGCTTCAGACATTATACTCTTTTCCTTTTCTAACATTACCTCTCTCTGAGCAGTGCATTCTACTTTGTATGCTTGACTTTTATCAATTATATCTGCCCTTAGTTGTTCCCGGAACCTTGACACCCAGTATCGATATAATCGCCAGCGACTGTCGAAATCAATATTCCAAATATCGTTGACATTTTCGGCTTCCTTTACGGTCATCTTACTCTTAGATTTAATCTTCTGGCGGATTTTTCGCTTCAACTTTTTTCGCTGTACCTTTGGAATCTGAAACCCATCATGCGATTGGAAATCATCTTTATCAAGATTCGATATATCGAGGGCTATGCATGTTTTCTTCAACTGGAGACTATCTTGAATGACCCTTTCAAAGCTATTATCACGTGCCTCGTCTGCATCTTCAAATAGTATTCTATTATTTCTAGCAACGTCATAATCCCCTTGAACTTCAATTACTTCTTCAACTTGATCTTCAGGGTTTTCATTTTTAGCTTCATCTATTACATCGAACACAAATTGACTTGATGCGCCGAGACCCAACCATTCAACCATTAGCGATGAAATCTGAGGAGCTTGGTAACCCATATTTTTGACCATTATTTCGTTTCTAACGATTTCAAACTGGTCGCTATGCCTGTGTGACATAACATGTTGCAGTGTATCCTCAGTCAAGATATCCCCTTCAGCTGCATCAATTCTTTGTGACACACTTTCTATTCTTTGATGAAGAGATCTTAATTTGTCGCCATGGATAAACCCTAACCTAGCCAAATTTTTGTAGCGACCTTCCTCGCGAGCCTTTTTTTTCCATGATCTCAATGAATACTTTTCAAGGTTACTATCTGATATCCGCCCCCCTACGCGAATTACACTGCCCTTGTAAAATTCAACGATCCCAGACAAAAACTGATCCAAAGCATGATTTGTGTAGCATACAATTAACATAGGTCTTCTCGCGGAGTCGATTTCATCCCAGTGTTTAGAATTGTGCAACAAGGCTTTCACAATCTTTAATCCAACATAAGTTTTACCAGTACCGGGTGGACCTTGAATTACAGAAAATTCCTTTGTTAAAGCTGTTTGCAGGGCTCTGAATTGGGATTCATCTAAATTAAGCATTTCATGTGATGGCCAGGATTGTAGATCTACCACATTCACTTTTTCAGCACACATAGATTTCCTACTGAAATTGTACCGGTCTGTTCTTCCCTGAATGCGAAGGTTTGTATCTTCTCTCAACTGAATGTCATCATCGATAAGGGGTCGCAGGTCAAATTTCCTGCCAATAGTTAAATACTTTGGTACATTGACAACGTTTTGACATTGGACTATATATTTTTCAAATGGTAATTTCGTTATATTTTGAAGACCTCTGAGCACATGTTTGTACGCCTCATAGTATGCCGTAGTCTCTACCATAACAAACCTTTGATCTGTATCAATAGCATTTATTTCTTCAAGATTTTGCTCAAATTTAACATCTATATAACCATCTTTTAAAAGCTTTGGGTCTCTATCTGATACTGTGGCGATGTAAAACGTTTGAAAATTGTCCGAAGACAGGCAAATCAATGAACCGTAGATGAGCCGCTTGGACATTTCCCATTTTACCCGTTGAAGTGAAGAAACATCGAACTGGATACGATGCAGTAAATCTGTTTTTGAACAAACGCTTCTTATCACACTGACATCTTTGTACACACGAATATCTTGCAATCTATTTCGACTTTTCTTAGGTTCATCGATAATTTTCTGATATTCAGCTATACCGTTACGAAGAGGTTGTATAAAATCTTCTCTAAGTAAACGAAACTGTACATCTAGGTAATGATTCACATCATCATACCTTCCTGTTTTCTTGTTTTTCCTCAAGAAAGGTTGGACATTTGGGTTCAAGTCATCTAGTGTTGGCAAAAGACTCATTTCACGGTATTCATCAGGGGGGTGACTTTCTTCGTCTACACGATGAGTTCGTCCATGTGAAAGAACGTCCCTCATTTTCTTGTGCTTGCTAGCTTCTAAATCGCTGACTTCATCCAAGCACATCATAATGTCATTATCAATAACATCGGATGTTTCTCGGAGACTGTCCACTTCTTTTCGAAGGGTAGCTAGAACACCACTTTGATCTGCATATGACCCGGGAACTCTTATTAACAGTTCTTTTAAAGTAACTAACGTGTCTATAATAATATTTCTTTGTCTGGTCTCATCTTGATCTTGTAGTCTCAATATTATGCAGGGTAATCCTACAGACAAAAATACGGAGCGTGGTAGTTTGACCAAGATGTTGTTTAAGTTTTGGGGCATTGATTCACATGTGCATGCTTTTGCTATTACGGATAGCAGCAACGTGACGATATTTGGATCCTGTCTCGTTGAATTCAAAAGTTCTTGCAATCCACTGTAATCATGCCCTAGTGATACCAGAATTTCCGAAGGGTCTTTTCGTTTGTATTCTTGTAATCTTCTCCAGTTCAAAACATCTATCTCTCGTTCACGTTCTCTACTTTTATTCCGATCGCCCGATTGATATCTTCTTCCGCCACGTGCTGTATTATGATTATTATGTCGTTGGTTCCCCCTGCCTCTGTTATTGACCTCGTTACCAACAACTGGGTTTTGCTGCTGGTGTCGACCACGTCCTCCTCTTCCTCTACCTCCAGCTCCACCCCTACCTCTACCACGAGCACCTTGGTGTCCCCTATTCTCATCAAGATTTACTCCAGGCAATTCTAAATCTTGACCAGTAAAACGAATGTCATTCGTTGAACCACGCCTATTTACATTTGGTTCCCGAATTCCAGCCTCTTCCGACAGCATTACATTTCTTCTAGTCGGATTTCCCATCTGGAGATTTCGTGGACGAACATCTCTTGCATGGTTGTTATCTCGTCTTCTTGGCTGTGGTCTATCATCGTTAAGCCCCTCTTCTATATTTAAGCGTTCCATTAACTTGCGTAAGGGCCCACCACTCATTTTAGCTCCTCTGGTTTGATAAAACTGAAACTAGAAGAACGGCTATCTTATTGTATGCTATTAAATTGACATGCTGATTCATTGTGCAGCATACAGGCATATATAAAAGATTATCACATGTTCAAGAGTCCCATACTGTGGCCTACTACACTTTTAATAAGTACTTGTTATAATCAAATACACCTGTAATATTATCAAAGGTCTTTTTGTATCAGTGATCACCGTACTTAATATTGTTGCGAGAAAAGAAACCTATCTATACCCTACAATGTAGAATGTTGTCATATTAGACACAACACAGGTGTCCTGATAATACCTTACGATAAAAGACTAAGCCAGTGGTATTATAGTTCCCCTGTTTTCATGGCAGGGGTTACTTACTTTAAAGCAAGGGAGAATGTAAGGCCCCGTGTACACATTGGCGTGCACGTAGAAGAATCCTTGACAGTTGGAATTCGAAATAAGAGTAGGCCATAGCGCCGCTGTCCGGGCAAAATTTCCCTTATGGTACACTGTATGGCATGTGCCCGTCTTCATTAGGGTATAGTTGGAGCAAAACAGTAGGACGTTAAAACTCATTTCATTTCGTTTACATTAAATTGGTAGATCAATTTTAGTTTTACTGGGTTGAGAATTGTTTCCTGTTCAGTTTTGGAATAAATCGAAAATTTCAATTTATAATATTAATGACTCAGACTGTAATAAAATAACAGTAGGCCTAGATCCATTGAATCTTTTGAATGTACATTACAATGAAATGCAACAATTTATAATATAAATGACTCAAGACAGTAATAAAATAACGGTAGATCCATTGAATATTTTGATTTACGTTACAATGAAATGCAACAATTGTTGTCGTTTCAATTGCTCGGTTTGAATATGAGCATAGGGAGGCCCAATAGTCTGGCGATCGAATAAATTGCGTGTGTCATCAAATAAACTGTACATGTAATCAGAAAATTAATAGTTAAACAGGGGCGGATCCAGAGCTACATATTTTTTTTTGTAAATCAATGCTTTTTATAAGAAAAGTTTATCGGCCGTGTGCTTTATTCTTTAGCGTCAGATGTGGAACAGGGTGGGCACTCAAAGCACGAGATAATGATATAGACATTATGTGATATCACAATTAATGCTTTGCATCCATGAAATAGAATCACAATGTCATTGTATAAATTCATAATAAAAATTGACGTCAAACGAGTTGTTGAATTTCTCTGTTTAAAAAGCTCAATGTGTATGTATATACGCCAAAATGAAGATAGAGACCATGCGGGGGGGGGGGGGGGAGATACATTGTCTCAGGAACTTGGCAAACCCCCTCCTGTAAAAATTCCTGGATCCGCCCCTGTTAAACTGGAGAGATTTTATTCTATCTAAAACAAATTTATATCAGTTAAAATCACGTTAAAGGGAATGCCGGTTCGTTAATTTATGACAATTAGACGTAGTGTTATACTGAATATTGTGCCATTTATACAACACGAAATAGTCAACGTTTTTGGTGCATAATTCTAAATTACACCCAATTTAGTCCTGAAGGCCTACTGACCAGGGCTGTCGTGAGAGACAGCAAAACTTTATCAGTATGAGTATGACATGTCGAAAACAAAAACAATGTAGGATAATAGTAATAATTATAATACAATAGATTGATGGCCTCATCTCTCCACACATATTATACACATTAAAAGACACACGATATGTTAACTAAAATAAATCACTTTGTACTTACCTAACGTGTTAACAGTCACAAGCTTGTTACCATTTCTAACTTGTAAATTACATTATATACTATCGCTTCCAATACATGGAAATACATAACACAATGATGTCATTAATGGCGGCGACTACCTGGAATTTCTACTTTTATTTTCGGTTTGCTTTAAGTACGGTGGATGATAGTGGCCATGTAAAATCTCTCCCTATGCGATACAACTTTACCACAGTATTTGGACGAGGATACCTTGTACAGAATATTTGTTTTTGTCGTAGATTCATTTATTATTCACTTCCAAGATATTAAAATACAAAACGTTGGCAGCACTAGCCTATAGAATAGCAGGCCTATTAGAATATTTTCAACTTACACAAATTATGCGATACAACTTTACCACAGTATTTGGACGAGGATACCATGTACAGAATATTTGTTTTTGTCGTAGATTCATTTATTATTCACTTCCAAGATATTAAAATACAAAACGTTGGCACCACTAGCCTATAGAATAGCAGGCCTATTAGAATATTTTCAACTTACACAAATTAAATTATTATTGAAGTCTGAAATTCTCGGAATTTCCTTGGTAAGAGCGCTTTAAATCATAAGGCCTGTCATTGAGTCAAGTGGCGTGATTTCCCAAGCTTGTAAGTCACAATGAGCAGGATCGCCCGTCCAGTCTCACGTTTTTCTCCGGATCGCAGGGATCCCTCCCACTGCTAAACGAAATATTGCAATAAAATTGAATTACAGTACCTGTTAGTCCCGAAATGTGACCTACCTTGTGTCGTGTGGACGCTTAACTTCATTTCCTGCCCCATCCCTCCCGAATCTTTCCAGTTTAGATACATGCCATGGTGTACGCACTCTCTAATAGCAAAATAAGCCAGATCTTTCACACATATTACAACAGTAAATATTATGCACTAAAAAAGTTGTTGTGTAATTAAGAACACCTAAGCAGGGCCAGAGCAAGACATGTTTTGCCCTCCCCCCACCACCCCGTCCCAAAGCTATGCAAGGTCCATGCTAAGTATAGGGTTTCTTCATGCATAGCCAGGATCGGATCGGGTTTTCTGTGGCAAGAATATCGATTATGCCAACGTAAACAAAATTAAATAGATATCTAGGATCCCCCAGGGGATTCATGGACCCGGAGCGATGTACCGGCTGCACCCGCTTTCCTTTGACCTACACCTGAGGGGCATCCTTGGTTTCCTGGGCATTTCTAAATACTATATAATACTTCTAATACTATAGGTTTTTTCAAAGTGGGAGCCACGGTGGCTAAGAGGGTAAGACGATGACTCGCTAGCTTGGAGGTCGCGGATTCGCTCCCGGTGTTGGCCGAGAGAGTTCATCGGGATTTTCCAGCGTGGTTTCTCTTGTCAGTGGTGCAGGATGGAGGGCCTGACAAGGACAGCTGTCTAGTCCCGTGCAAACATTGCCGTGCACGTAAAAGATCCCTTGGCAGTTGGAATTCGATATAAGAGTAGGCTGTAGCACACTGTATGGCGTATGTCCGTCTTCATTAGCCCAGTCGGAGCAGAACAGTAGGTCGTTAAACCCCTTTTCATTTCATTTTTTCAAAGTTATGTAATTGGGTTCATCGGTAAAGAGAGATTACGGTGACAAGTCTGTAGTCCTGTCATAAGCTCGTATCGTGAGACGGAGGGGCTGACAAGGAAAGCTGTCTAGTCGTTCGGATGGGACGAAAAACCGAGGTCCCGTGTACACATTGGCGTGCACGTAAAAGATCCTTTGGCAGTTGGAATTCGATATAAGAGTAGGCCGTAGTGCCGCTGTCCGGGCAAAATTTCCCTCATAGCACACTGTATGGCGTATGCCCGTCTTCATTAGCCCAGGTTAGGAGCAGAACAGTAGGACGTTAAACTCCATTTCATTTCATTTTTTTCGTATCGTGAGAATTTACCTGGCCACTATCATCCACCATAGTTCAAGGAATACCACGCTATTTATAGCTGCATTACCTCACAGATAAGCCAAAACTCTGGTGCTCTATTTCGGCCACTTTCCGCGTCGCTTTTTTTTTTTCAATGTTACGCTATAGAGAAAAAAAGCAACGTTGACTTTTTGACACGACGTCGCCCTTTATAAAGCGACGCGCCGCCCTTTGCGTAGCGCGTCGTCAAAATAATTAAGATTGACTTCCCTTAGGGAGACTTCATTATTTTACATTTTTAAATGTAAATACAATAATTCTTAAAAATGCACCTGCATTTTTGTAAGTTTTTTGGTTTTGTTTTCATTATAAATTATTATTTTTCTCAGAAATTTTGTACTGGTAGCTGACTTTCGTGTCCACATTTCATTCAATGATTCTGGGTTAACTAGTGCAGAAGTGAACGTAATCTTGGATTCTTTCAACATCGGTCTTAATCTCATTTCTTCAGGGTTGCCAATATATTCGTCGTAGGATATCCAAATAAGAAAAAAAAAAAAAAATTCTCGTACTAATTCTGTCTGTAAAAATGTCAAGGAAAGTTCATACTCTAAGTGAAAAGGGTTAACTGGTCCGCGGGTGCACTAGTCCGCCGCTATAAGAAATACTATAAATATGGGTATCAATAAACCCAACCCTAACCCGCGGACTAGTGAGCATTCCCCAGTTCAGTAATACAACACTTGAGAACCTATAAAACAACTAACGTAAATAACGGAAACCATATCCACGAGGTCACTCATTCACACTAGATTTACGATTTTAAGTTCAGAACATAACTTTAAAATATAACATATAATCTGGATAGAAATGTCGTGTTATATAAAGGATATTATTGACAGTTTTACCACATGTGTCTAAGGATGTATATTGCTGGGTCATCTGTAAAGATAGAATATAAAAGAATATATTATGACATTTACAGGTTTATACTATACAAACAATAAAATACATAAAACAATTAAATGTATTCTAACTTATTAACTGGGTTCTTAATTTAGCTGCACATCAAACATCATTCACCATTCACAGACGCCGTGAAAATGCAATGCAACTCCTTTCCTTGTGTCCAATATAAATTATTGTATTGAAGATAAGATACCAAACGGCAAATGAACTGCAAATGCATTCGCCTGGTACATGCGCATTTCATCACCAAAACTATAAACAATATCAGTTTAGAAAAAGCGACGCGCGACGCGCGCGAAGGGTGACGCGAGGGGCGACGTCTGATTTGTCTTCTCTATAACTTAACATTGAAAAAGGCGAAGCACGACGCTTGAAGCACGAAGTGGCCGAAATAGAACACCATACAATACATTTGGACAAAACATTTGGTATCGCGTAAAATATTCACTGCTAATCAGTGTGACAGTTTGACATTAGCCAATAGTATCCAGGCAAGTTTTCTATTTTTTAAAACTTTTTCTCCAAAAACGCAAATGATACTGCATTATTTATTATTGTTTGATCGCAAAATGATTATTTACTAAAAATAAAACCCAACCCAAAACAACGTATATAACCCGGTAATGTAGACCATGTAGGTTATAATGAAACGCGATTATATACAAGCAGTGCGATTTTACTGCGTTGAAGCTATTTCCGTACTTCATTTTTGAATTCCGCTGCCTTGATAAAACGGCTTATCAATATACGTTTTAAGCTAATGAAGTAGTTAACAGAAAGTAGTCAGTTTGTTGTCTACCTTGGCTTCGTGCCAATAACTATAATACCGAAAGTAGAAATTCGTGGAATTTTATTTTATTTTATTCCTAGAAAGGGACTGTCAAGGTAGACTAATATGCCCACTAAATTGATATCATAGATTTGTTAGATAATTATTTACAAGGTATGTATTATCTTATTCTAACACTTCAATTTCACGCCGCTGGCAACACCGTGTTTAACTTAGTTTAGTTTAGTTTAAACAATATTTTATTCAATAAGCTGAATTGGATTGAACAACAGGCAAAGGCCTATATAAGTTCTCTCCAGTCATATAAAATAGTTAAATCTTATGTTTACAATACATTGGTGGACATATGTACAGGCAGTGGTTTAGACTTGTAGTTTAATTTAAAGTGTTAAAATCTCATGCTGTCTTTTATGTATTTTTGCACTATTTCAAATATGTTAGAATTGGCATTGTCTGGAAGAGCAGGGTTGCCATATAGGATCAGGTCAATAATTGTAACATTTTGTTTAAGGTGGTGTAGATTATTTTTGAGAATTGTTCTTGGGGCAGAGTATGCTGGACATATGAAAAAATAATGGTCTGCAGAATTACAACTAAGGCACACTTTTGTTTCACTAATAAAATGGTAGAATAAGTGATTATTTAAGTAACTAGCTTTATTTCTTAATTGGCAATGGATAATATTCTCTTTCCTATTTCCAGTATTATAATATAGTTGTTGTCTAATTTCAGGCTACACACGTGAAAGGCCTAATTTAAATGTACTAAACGTTTGTGAGGTTTTAATATTTTCAGGCAAGTTGTTTCAAAGTTTAATTGCGCAGGGAAAGAAATTATTAGAATATGAACTGGTTTTACAAAATGGTAGATTGAGGTTCAGATTTTCATTACGAGGGTTATAATTTGATATTGACGGTTCAATTTTTTTAAAAAGTTTCAGATAGATAAGTGGGACTTAGGTTATTCTTTATTTGTGTTTAACTTCATGTCATTATTGTTATGATTATGTTCCTTGTATGGTGATTACGAAACGAGATTGCAGTGGTAAAAGAAAGACCCCCTATGGTAGCTAAAAACTTTCGATAAGAACAACGAAAGATTTTGAAATTACACTAAAGACGAAATTGAGTAGACGGCAGTTATCCCACTTTCTGGGCCCTCTGCGTCACAAGGAATCGTAGAAATGTTTCGCCACTTGGCCTGGGGCGGTGGTGCTGTTTTCAATCATGCCTGAGACCAGGTGTTCAATAGGTGAATACACAGTCGGCCAACCTCCCCCTTTACCCCAATTCTATGAATTTAAAAGAGATAGTATAAATATGATTTTTTTGTAGACGATTATTCATGGCGTCAGCTTGGGATGACGAGGATACCGACCAATATACGATGCCGCAACAGTAAGTTTTTCATATCTTAAAAATACCACTGTTTTGTAATTATCAATTTAGCAGAGAACATATTATAGTATTGGAATAGGATTACACCCCCCCCCCTCCAAAAAAACAAACTAAGTAGAATGTCGTCAGATGAGTACCTGTGTGTTTTTATATCTATATAGGGCTCATGAGAGGGGGGCAGCTTGGACACTTGTCAAGTGGCCCGGAGCCTAGTGGGGCCTGGAGGTAGGCTGAGTAATGTTTTTAAAAATATGTTAGTATAAGTTAATAAAAATATAGTACACTGTTACTTGATCGTAACGTAGAATGTGGGTACCTAGTGGCATGGGTAGAATTACAATCGGAATATCTCAGTCCTCGTTCCGCTTTTGGCTCTCGTCACCGTCAGGGTATCCGGACCCTCTTCCGTTTGAATCCAGTTGAACACGATTTTAGATATTGAAACAAATATACTGCCCCCCCCCCCCCAAAAAAAAAAAACCACCCCAAAAAAACAAACTTTTAGACAGTCTGAATTTTCGGGCAGACGGGTAAAGTGAAAAAATTCTAGTTGGCAAAATAAAGTAGAATAAAACACTGATTTTACTTTTCTGTTTAATAAATACCGCGTTTTCTTACTGAATTGACTGAATTAAAACATTTTGTCTGGAGCCACCTTGCTTTGTGTGGCATTTTTCGGGCATGGGTTATTATTTGTGAATGTAATTCCAACAGTCTGACAGGATGATTGAGATTCAGGTCGGAATAGAGTGGAATTTCGGTTGCAAAACCATTGGGCAACTTTGAAGTTGCTAGACAAATGGGCCAGAATATCAGAAAAAACGCGATTAAATTTTCAAAATTGCGAGTTCCTTATACCGTTTGGGTTTGGAATTCATTTCAGCCGTCCAAGTTAGACTATATTGGACAACATTGAAGTTGGTGTATTTACTGACTGGAATAGCCGTTTGTATACGAGACCTTTTTCGGGCATTTCAGCCCCCCCCCCTCACTCAACATCCATCGGGTCCTTACGCCTATGATGCCATACATAATGTTGTGTTAAATCTCAGTGACCTATAGTTACCCTAGATAACCATAAATAACCATATATCTTTCAAATATTTTCGATCAATCTTCCCGACACCTGCCGGGTTGCTTGTCCTAGGGTCCAGAATGCCCTGTTGTGGGCCCTATATCTATCTCTAACATAAGATACAGTGCAGCAGACAAGGGTAAGGCATATTATAAGGAAAAATTTCACATGTGGATACAAATGTCAAAATTTGCTCAATCAATATTTGGGAGCAGTGTCGTCTTAAAAGCATTATAGCTGTCAGCCCCGTAGGCAAAGCAGTGCACTGGGTCCCTTTACTACACAATCATTCACCGAAATAAAAATGTAAATGGTCGATAGAATTAATCATTAGATCGTAAGGTATGTGATTGAAGGGGCGTAGTTTCGATTCCTTGTACGCGACAAGGAGTATGGTCGCCTGTCCAAACTCGTGTATCCTCACACAGCTTAAGACCCTACGTGCAAGCGGATTATTGAAATAAAATTGAACGATATTTGTGAAAAGGGGAGCTGCCATTTTGTCAGTCTCGGTCAGATTTTCACGAAATTCGAACTCAATCGTCATTATTGTGTAACCGTTACAGATTTGAACGGTTTTTGAAATAAAATAAAATTGTGAACTATAGAGCGCCCACATTAAATTTTTTTTGTGGACACTCTACTGGTCACATTTTTTTATAAGGCCAAAATTTCATGTGGACGTATATTGTCGTCGCCCCTGTCCATCCGTCCACAATTTAGTTAAAGGTATATTTCCTGAAGAACTCAGTTCCTTTCGACAATATTGGCGTGTATCAGACCGTAACCTCGTGGATTATGGCCCCTGATTGTAGCCTACGAAAAATCACGTTTTTAGCTTGTGGGCACTCTAAAAGTCACAATTTAAATCCGATTTTGATGTATCACCGTTACACCCTAATGAAGTTGAATTCGAATTTCGTGAAATTCAGACCAAAACTGCCCGACAAAATGTCCGTACCTCGTAGGCAAATAGTGTAAAAGTGTGTAATACCAAAGTTAAGGACCCTCTAGAGGACACAATTTTTATCCTATTTTAATGAAACTTAAAATATATCCCAAAGCAAAGATCTCGGTTCCTTTCGATATTCGCGCATATCGGACCGTAATTTCATGGATTATGGCCCCTGATTGTGCGACAAAATCGCATTTTTAGACCCGTGATTCCTCTTGAGGTCACAATTTTTATCCGATTTGAAAAACCGTTCAAATATATGTCGGTTACACCCTAATGACGATTGTGAAAATCGGTCCGAAACAGCCCGACGTAAATAGTGTAAAAGTATTTAATGCCAAGGCTGTGGAACCTATAGAGGTCACAATTGTTTCCCAATATTGATGAAACTTAAAATATATGTTTATATCCCAAAGATCTCGATACTAATTTCCTGGATTGTGGCCGGCCCCTAATTGTACAAAAATCGCCTTTTAGACTCTCCCTGTCCATCTCTAGTAAAATGCGGTCGTATCTTGCATGGTAACCGATTGTTTTAAGTTATTATAGCGGGAACCGTCAGCTCATTATCTAATCTTGCATACTGCCCCTTTTAATGCACGTGGGGTTGGATGGCCGAATGGTTAGCACGTGCGCGCTGTATCATAAAGCCTGTCATTGAGTCAGCTGGCGTGGTTTCGAAGCCCCGGTTGTACGTGACAAGGAGTAGGGTCGCCTGTCCAACCTCATGGGTTTTCTCCGGGTCCTCCGATTTCCCCCCACTGCTAAAGAGCCCTACGCGCAGGCGAATTATTGAAATAAATTAAACCATATGTTAGTCTCTCTCTCTCTCTCTCTCTCTCTCTCTCTCTCTCTGTGTGTTAATGCACTGTAATAATCAACTATCAATGTACTATCAACTTCCCAAAGCAGAACAGTTTACATCACTGTTAGATTAAAGCGGTTGGGTTGTCGACTGCATCACAATCATGCCAATGGCATTGGACCATGATAAAAAAAATAGGTGGTTACTGCAATGTTCGATTAAATGTGATTCGTGCCACATTGTAAAAGTGCATTCGTACGTATGGATACTGATAGTTACCACTTATTAAGAACTAAAACTACGTTGTAAGATATCCGATGACTCCATCCACCAGGAATGAAAGGTTGCGTCGTGTTTCGATTCTTGGCGGCTTAATCCCGGCAATGTAAAACTTAAGAAATCCATATTTTTATATGCCCATATTTTTATGTGGACGTATATTGTCGTTGCCACTGTGCGTCTGGACGCCCGTCCACAATTTCTATCCGATTTTGATGAAACTTGAATTGCATGTTTATAACCCCACGATCTTGTTTCCTCTCGATATGTACTCAAATAGTGTTAAAGTATGGACTATCTAGGTTGTTGAGCCTCTAGAGGTCACAATTTTGATCCGATTTTGTATATATGTATATATCCCAAAGATCGCGGTTCTCTCCTTTTGATATTCGCGCATATCGGACCGTACCTTCCTGTATTATGACCCCTGATTGTACGAAAAATCATTTTTTTTAGCGTGTGTTCCCTTTACGTGTCACAATTTTTATGTGATATTACAATCCCTTCAAACATATCACCGTTACACCCTAATGACGATTGCTCCTCGTACGCAAACATCGTGCTAATACCAAGGCTTAACTTAACATATATGTTAAGTTTCATCTAAATCGAACCAAAAAATTATGGGATCTAGAAGGTCAACAGATATTTTTAAATTAACATTTTGCGTAAAATACATGGACCATAACCCAAGAAGTTGTGGTCTAATGCGCGGCAGATCTTTTGACCCTTAACTTACATTGTAAGTTTCAACTTAAACTGAAAATAAAAATTAATCTGAAAATAAAATAAAATTACAAACAAAAGTTAAATAAATTAAAAAGTAGAATGAAAAAAATCAAAATTAATGAAAATTCTTCGTAGCCTATCGCTACCATAGTACCCCACAATACTTAGGGGCTTTTCTGATTAGGCATTATCTTAGAAATGAAATGAAATGGAGTTTAACGTCCTACTGTTCTGCTCCTAACCTGGGCTAATGAAGACGGGCATTATCTTAGGTTATATTATATATAAAATGTTATAAAATCTGAAAAGGCACAATCAATATAAAAACTGAAAAAGTATATCTGTATAAATCAAGCTTCAAAGAACTTGAATGGATTTATTTGACCTGGGTCGGCTGTGAGGTTATTTCTTTTCATTTATTTCTTTGATGGGAATGTCGGAAATAAGAATGTCACAAACTGTTTAATTGTAACATGTAACAAATTGCACTTTTTAGGTCATTTGCCATGGGTTTATTCCAAGAAAAAGTCCATTATTTTGCATTGTTTCGCTCGACACGCCCTTTTAAAATTTTCTCTATCCAACCGATGTATCTAAAGATAAAGTTAAAATACGATAGCCTAAAACTGTGACAATCTGACTAGGGAGTGTCCTAGTTGAAGTTTTTGCGTCATGTACCTAATGCAAAATCCATGCTCGGAATACATGAATCACCCATTCCCAAAAAATGGCGTCTCGCTGTTGCATTGTTGGAGATCCGTGAGCAAACTCGCGAGGAGGCCGCCATTGCTTTACATGGGATTTCTTTGACCTAATTTCTAAAAACGCCGATTTTACGTTAATTTTAGTGATGGGGGATATTTCATATGATGTGATAGAGACACAGATGGTTGATGCACGTAAAGAATACCTCAGAAAGCACATTCTGAAGTAAACAGATCGCAAAAAGGTAAAATGAAAACTTCAAAACAAACAGCGGTCAAAACTTAACCAGCGCTTCCAACTCCTTTTTGCGGCCTGCACACTTAAGATTTCGCTTTCTCAGGTATTCTTTAAGTGCATCAACCTTCCAGGTCTCTATCACATCGTATGAAATATCCCCCATCCTTAAAATAACAGTAAAATCGGCGTTGATAAGAAATTGATAAGAAACGATTTGCATGGATATCAGGCAAATGATAACAGCTATTACATCAAGAGAAACTTATCCGTGTGTCAAAACGGGTCATAGTTCATTAGGTCAATATTCTGCCCAATCTGTTTCACAGAGGCATTGTAATCGCAATATCTCTGTATAAGATGACTGACCTTTATAAGTTCAAATACCTTCTACATGTGACGTCACATCACGCGACGTCGATTATTGGCTCTATTGCGCGTGTATTGTTTACATAATGTGAACTGGTCCGGGCAGAATGGCACCCTTTACTCATTTATATACCCATTTACACCAAATAGAAAATATTTTTATGCAGATATACGTCAAACACCGTTATTCAGTGTTCTAATACATAAAAAAAGATGTTCTAGAACAAAATTTTTTAGAAGGAGAAAAGTTAATTGTAGCGGGCTAGCGTAAATTCATTCCTGATCTGGGTGTATTCTGCCAAGCCGCAAAGCATTATGGGATACTATGATAGCGATAGCCTACGACGAATTTTCATGTTAGTATTCATTTGATTTTAACAGTCATTTAATTCCGTTTTTAATATGAAATTCATTTTGATTTTGATTTTCAATTTGATTTGGTTTTCAAGGATTTCCGATATTTACTATGGCCCCTGATCAGTTTGAATAATCGTATAGACACTCTAGAGGTTAAAGTTGATATCCGATTGACTTTAAATTAGTACCCGTTGATTAAGGTCATGAGACGAAAAAGCCTATTGATGTTCAAGGATGTCCGATAATTACTGCCGGAGTTATGGCCCTTGCTCACTTTGGAAAATCTTGTGGACGTTCTAGAGGCTAATGTTATCCTTCGATTGATTTTAAATTTATACACAGTGTTTATGGTCACGAGACAAAGACTTTAAATGATTTGCAAGGAGTTACGATAATTACTGCTAGAGTTATGACCCTTGATTACTTTGAAAATTCTTGTGGATGCTCTACATGGCAACGTTATCATTCGGTTGACTTTATACAATAAACGTTAACATGGGTCAGCACTAGAAGCCAAACAAATTCTATTGATTTCTGATAATTACTATCTGAGTTGTTACTCTTAACCAGATTTTAAATTATTGTAAATGTTTCATTACCGACAAAAGAAAAAAAACCGCGACAACCCTTGTTGACTTCGCGGACGACGTGACTGCTGTGGGCGTATGTTTCGTTTTCTGGCAACCTATCCTTATGTTGTTTTGTTTTTATTATGTTTTAACAGACCAAGACTGGGTCGGCCAAATTCAGACCGAAGAGGGAAAGAGCGGAAGAAAGATACACGACTTACAAGAGAGAAATTCGAAGAATATTTAGGCTTAGATCCAAATGAGATATTGATACAACTTACTAGGGCCAATGGTGGCTTAAAAAGTTTTTTAGGAAATGGGGCGCTTGATTCTAAACTTATACCAGTGGCCATGAAAAGTTTTAGCAAAGCCTGTCAATGTGAATTAGCAGAGGAAGAAAAGAATCATCTCTTGAGCTGCATTTTAGACTCTCCATTCATAGATCAGCTCATGTTATACTACTTCCACGACACGGTAACACCTGAACTCTTGGAAAACACCATGGAAGTTATGTTGTCCATTATGAGGAAAATGCCAGCCGCCGGAAAAAACAAAATTGATTTACTTTTGCAAATTATAGGCAAAAGGGATAATTTGGGCGAAGAATCGACAAGGAAACTGCAGGATATTCGATCTATCCTGAAAACAATCCCCGATTCAAATGAAGGAATAAGGCAAAGACGTCCGGACAATGATAACGACGCTCCCCCGGAAGACTTCAGGAACTTAACAATTATACCACGTGCATGCGACATAGACGTCAGCAAAGAACCATTTTTAAGGAAGAACAAAACAAACGATCGATATGACAATCATGATCATTATTTGGACGTGCAATTCAGACTGCTTAGAGAAGATTTGATAGCTCCTTTGAGAGAGAGCATTAGTGAATTCCGAAGTCATGGTAGTAACACTGAACGTTCAACTTTAAAGGCCTATTTGAAGGTCAGATTAGTTCGTCCCGTATGTAGATTAAACGGCCTTGGGTATCGAATAAGCTTTGACACTAACCAAATAGCGCGTGTAAATTGGGACACAAGCAGGCGTCTCATCCACGGGTCGCTTCTGTGCTTGTCAACTGATAATTTTCAAACGTGTGTTTACGCCACAGTCGTGAATCGAGAAATAGACAATATCAAAAATGGACTTATTGACGTTTGTTTCGAATTCTCGGAGGTAGATGACTTGAACGACTTTGTTGACTCTAACCAATCCTCGACATTCGTTATGGTTGAATCCCCGTCATATTTTGAGCCATACAAACATGTTCTAATAGCAATGCAACGGATGGGAGAAAATAACTTTTCTTTCTATCGATACATTGTAGAAGGTGCAAAGGATGTATATCCTCCGGCATATTTACGACAAAATGTAACTCTAAGTTATGATCTTCGACCTCTAGCAGATAATGGCTATCGTTTTGCGGACAATGACGATGGTTACACATTTAATCAGAAGTTAGATGGATTACAAGAAGTTGATATCCTTGATGATGCGGCATGGCCTACGGCAGATGAACTAAACTTAGACCAATCCCAATCAGTTGCATTCCGAAACGCATTATGTAGAGAATTTGCCATAATTCAGGGCCCCCCTGGAACTGGTAAGACTCACCTTGGATTGAACATATTAAAAATCCTTCTTCACAACCGAAATATTTGGCAGACTGATGAGAACAAAACTCCAATAGTGGTCATTTGTTACACGAATCATGCTTTGGACCAATTCCTGTGTGGCGCGTTGGATTTCTTTGATGGTAAAATGGTTCGGGTGGGGTCCAGAAGTAAAAACGAAAAAATAAAAGAATTTTCCATCACAAATCACAGAATACGATCACGACAACTGAAGCAAGTTAGTCAGGCAGTTCATGTTTCCAGATACAACATGAAAATAGAACTGGATAATTTAAAGAAGGAAATAGAATTAAATGCCGTCCAGCTTGAAATTGCTCAACGGGAAATAATCCAAGAGAGTTGTTTTAAGGATGAATCTATAATAGAAGATATGCATTTTCAACAGTTGAAATCGAGAAATGGGCTACTTCATTGGCTTGGGATACAAAATGACCTGGAAAAGATACACGACATTCCACCACAGGCACAGCATGGACTAGAGCAAGATCAATTTGAGGATTCAGAATCTGACGAGGGAGTTGATGATACAGATGAATTACAGATGTCTGATTTCGAAGATATGCGCCTTTTGGACGACGATGATCTAGTGGGAATTGACGCTGAGGTGGAAGTTATTAAATCTTCAATAACAGCGTTGAATGTATCTCAGTTAGACAATCTGATTATCGCAAATAATGACATGGACGGGAAACGAAAACGGGTCAAACTGAGATATCTCAAACAAAGCATCCGAAAGAAGATATCATCGGCAGAAACGATGACTAAAGATGAAGTAAACGGCGTTGCGGATTTGAGAAAATTAAAATATCCAGATAGATGGCGACTGTACAGATATTGGATACGAATATTTGTGAAAGTTGTTATGGAAAAGTTGAAGGATAAGGAATTACAATATGGAAAACTAGCCAAAAGATATAATGAAATAATGCTAATAGAAGACAAAGATATAATGCAAAATGCTACAATCGTTGGACTGACAACCACTGGGGCAGCTCGTTATCAGGCTGTGTTGGCAGATATTGGTCCAAAAATTGTCATATTTGAAGAAGCTGCAGAAGTTTTGGAAGGTCACATAGTGGTGAACCTCTGCAAGAAGTGTGAGCATGCTATCTTTATAGGTGACCATAAACAACTCCGTCCAAACCCAACCGTTCACAAGCTTGCGAAGGAATTTAATCTGGAAATTTCCCTTTTCGAAAGACTTATAGGTAATAATATTCCATATGACACACTGAAACTTCAACATCGTATGCGTCCTGAAATATCTACGATCATACACAGTATTTACCCTGACCTGAAAGACCATGATGTTGTTAAGAATTATGAAGATATTTTAGGCGTGGACAGAAATATATATTTCATTAGCCACTGCCAACCAGATGAAGTAAATTGTGAGACGACGACCCGTGTTAACCAATTCGAAGGAAAATATTTGAAGGCGTTATGCAAGTACCTGATGAACCAGGGTTATCGTCCACAGAGAATAACAATTTTAGCTACATATTCTGGCCAGCAGCATTATCTTTCATCAATCATGAGGAAGGAACAGTATAAAAACGTACGAATCGCCACCGTAGATAGTTATCAGGGTCAGGAGAATGACATAATACTTCTATCCTTAGTAAGAAGCAGTCAAGAAGATGGGATAGGATTTTTATCCCAAAATAATCGACTATGTGTTGCGTTTTCAAGAGCTAAAATGGGATTCTATGTCATAGGTAACTTCGAACACTTGCAAAAGCACAGTCCTCTAATTAAGGAAATGACCGGAAAAGCTCACAAAAACAAAATCATAGACGAGTGTTTACCACTGAGTTGCCCTATTCATGGTTTTCTCATTAAAGCTACACAACCTGGGCATTTCAAAATTTCCAGTGGCGGCTGTAAGAAACAATGCAATACACGATTGAAATGTGGGCACCAATGTACCCGAATATGTCATGGTAACGATCGAAATCACCAAGATGTCCAATGTTCCAATAAGTGCGTAAGACAATGCGACAATAGTCATCCTTGTCAAAAATTGTGCTTTGAGATATGTGGACCTTGTATGATACCGATGACAAAAACTATTCCGAGATGTGGGCATGAGGTGGATGTACCTTGTTCTGAAGAACCATGGAAAGCTAAATGTACTGCTACGATGACGAAGACATTGCCTTGTGGGCATAAAGGCAAAGGTATCTGCTCCCCTCTGCTGGAGACTAAATGTATGGCTATGGTTGAGGTAGATCGCGAACGCTGTGGTCATAAAATAATTATACCTTGTCATGAAAAAGATTCGAGTAAATGCAACCACCTTTGTGGCGAAACGTTAAAGTGTGGTCACGACTGTAAAGGCACATGTGGAGATTGTTATAAAGGGAAGCTCCACATGCCATGTCAAGAGCGATGTGGAAGAACTCTAATCTGCGGGCATATCTGTTTGGATGCGTGTTCCGTTTGCCCCCCATGTTACCAGTCCTGCATTAACAAATGTAAGCATAACGAATGCACCAACAAATGTGGCGAACCCTGTATCCCTTGTAATGAGGGGTGTAAATGGCGATGCAGACACCATGTATGCACAAAACGCTGCAGCGAATTGTGCGACCGAGTGAAATGTGACGAACCATGCAGGAAACTATTGGCTTGTGGTCACCAATGCATTGGACTTTGTGGCGAATATTGTGGCGAACCTGGTCAACAAATATGTAGAGTGTGTGATCGTGATAAGTTAGAAGATTTACACATATGGGGAGAGGAAGATGTTAACGTGTCTAGGTATATTTACTTAGAAGATTGTTGTCATATTTTTGAAGTTAATGGATTGGATAAATTAATGGAGACGGATCCAACAGCAGATAGTGAAATAGGTATTAAACGATGCCCTATGTGTAACACGATGATAATCAAGACATCAAGATATGGAAATATAGTAAAGAAAGCTCTTCAACACGTTCATAACATAAAAACCAAGATTGTTGGTGCCTCCGTACGTATTGCAGATCTTAAGAAAAAAATTGAAGAAAAGAGACGGGTTTCAAACGAGCTCAGGTCATTTATTCAACGAATATATGGAGATGATGAAATTGAAGCTGAAAACAAACTACGGGCCGTTGTGTCACAGATAAGCATATATGAAAATATAACATCTCGCTGTCAACAACTTGACAATACAAGAAGACAACTGGGTCTCGATGAAGACTACTTTAAGACAGTTCTAGTTTTCGTGCATCAGATGAAAGAGTGGGTCAGCATCAGGAGAACATTGTTTTCAGAGCAAGAGGTACATGATGCCAAGGCAGGGCTGAAAAAGCTAAAGAACTGGGTTATATTATCCGTAGGTCGTGCCAGAACCAGCGATAAAGTTGATAAAATACCGGCCCAGTTCATGGGACGTTTGGCTTCCGCAATTCGAGAAATGGAGACGGATCATACTATTCCCGATGATGACATGACATTGATGATTGAGACCATTGAACAATACATACCAAGGAGTACTCTAGGTATCACAGATCAAGAGAGGTTAAATATCGTTGCTGCTATTGGTGGAAGAAAGGGTCAATGGTATCAGTGCAGAAACGGTGAGTTAAATGTTATTGTATTTAATCAAGGGAGTGGAGCAGTGCTTCGGCAAATAGAAGCGAAACGCCGCTGATTTACAGTGAAATACATGATGTTATCCGTATAGAAAGTTATAACCAGCACCCACCATTTATCGTTTTCGGTAACGGATATATCTGGATAGTTGTCCAGTCCACTGTTATGTAGGATTGATGAAATATACTTTACCTATATATGTTACCTAACGATGGATCTTTTAAAGTATATATATCCCTGTTTTGTATTCTTTCAGGACACTATTACTCAATTGGCGATTGTGGTAGACCAGATGGAACTGCTAATTGTCCTGAGTGTCATGAAATTATAGGTGGAGAGAACCATGCACTACACGCTGGCAATATAGAGGCTCCCGAAATGGATGATGCACAGGGCCCACTACATACAGAAGAAAGTGATTATCTTTATGCTTTACAGTTACAGTTTGAATAAATATTATAATGAGAAGTCATAAATCCCTTAGCTATATATGAAAGAGGGGTTCCTGCATTGGTCTACAACCAAATTAAATATTTTCGACTCCCAAGTCTCCTATTTAAAAGTACTTTTTTCGAAACACCCAGCGCTCTACGGGAACGCAATTTTCTTTTACACATTCTGCTGGCATAGTCCACTTGTTAGAACACTAATTTGATCTGATTTTATTCCGACTTCGTTTATTGACGTAGCAGACTACAATATTGCGAAAGTTGAATATATAATAGGAATATCAGCCCAAAAATGGTTCGATTCCATTCAGTATTTACAAAGGGTGATTTAACAATTTAGCAACACCCGACTTCCCCTGTAGATGATATGAACAAGACGGGACCATTTACAAGTCTCAGGCAAAATCTCTTGATGGGCCTCTTTTTGATCTGATGTAACCCAAGCCGGAAGATTATCTACCGTTTATATGTTAAACATACATTATTCTTAAACATACATTATGTAAGATTTAGATAAAGATCTGGCCGTTCTTGCTATAATAGTTGAAAATAAGATAATGAAAAATGAATATATTGATAATTTTATTCAAATTACTTTATTCTGAGCGAAGTTATCACTGTTTGTAGTTTTGACAAGATGCTGGTTATTCGATTCTGAGGCTCGCCTTTCCAGTATTAAATTAAATCATTGAATGACCGAACCGTTCGAATCTACTTAAAATCGGAGCACCTAGAATTAATTATGGCCGTGTCATGTTAATATAATTTATATAACATTTAAGGCCTAAAAAGACCTGCAAAAGGCGGATTTAGCTCTTGAATAATGCCCCTTTAATTAAATAATCCGTTTTAATACATTTAGAATAGATTTCTCCAAAAACAAATACAAATACCGTTCCACGGCTTTAATATGTGTGTATATATGATATTTATATGATGTATTATAATTGGTTGACACCATTAATATATTATCAAGTTTTATCTTAACTTGATATATTTCAGTTTTACTATATGTAATAATTTAATATTCACACCATTCATTTAATATCAACTTTTATTTTATATTGATATATTTGTGTTTTACATACATTATTCGTAATAATTTAATATTCTGTATTAGTTGTACATATATTAGTAATATGACTTTATGTAATGACTTATTTCTCTATATTGGTGTCGTTAAAGGGCACAACGGTGTCGATTTCTTTCATATTCCTTCAATAGATATTTGAATTTTCTTATGTAATCGAAAATGTCCCTTATAGAATCGTATTGTTGTGTATAGAACATATAAAGAACAACATTAAATCGTGAATATCCGTACCGGGCCCTTATTCACGAAAACTTAAACTAAGATACAATCGAAATTTTAAGAAATACTGCAATTCGATTGGCTGACCAGTAAAATCAATTTGCATATATCCAATTTGCATATTGGTCAGCCAATCGAATTGCAGTATTTCTTAAAATTTCGATTGTATCTTAGTTTAAGTTTTCGTGAATAAGGGCCCCGAAAAGAATTAACATTTCAGGAAAACTAACAGTGTGTTCGAAATCAGAATTGTTAAATAGAAGTTCATGAAGGACAACCTATGGGATATATATAGTGAAAGAAACACCAGAATACAGGAAAATTTAGCACTTTGCGAAATTCAAATAAATAATTTGTGATCAGACAACAAATCTGAATCAGTTAATCATAGATTAAAAGAGCTTGCAACACGAAATGGCCAAATTAACTACAACAATAAATTATACAAATTCTAAATCTAAGATGCGCATTTTATGGGTATGGTAAAAAGCTCTCATCAGTTAAATTTGACGCGTGGCAATCGAAAGACCAATGCGAAGATATTAATATTTTTTCAATTTTTGAATGACAAAAGGATGGTATCTGTTCCAACTAAAAACATTCGCTCATTTTAAAGTCATGCATCGAAAGGTTTAGTAGGGTAAAAATCTTAAATCTTGGACGCAGAAAACTACAATGGCAGACAGGGCGCGTAGTTTAAAAAAGAATTCCACTTACGAATTTATGTTGTCTTTATATATCTATTCAGACCCATATGTCAAAATTATTATAGAATGTATAAATTATAATAATAGTACCCCGCCCCCTCCCCTCCCCCTACTTGACAAATTTTATTACAGTTTATCGGTCATAATGTATACTATATATTTTGTGATGTACTCACTGTATTCTACTCTTTTGCTGCTGTAAGTTTTGTATAGTTGAGGAGATAGTATAATTTCTATCTTTCGATATTAAATGTTTTATGTACATTATCAAAGCAATGTATCATAAGGCGGCAGAATTAGAGAAATCAAAATGCCCACCCCCGTCCCCTCAAACACACCCACACACCCACTGCGACTTATCTTTTGAAATAAATCAGGTTATAATCGCTACTTCTTCAAGGTAGTGGTTAGTTTTATAATCTTCCGTGTATAAAATTATATTAGAACTATTTCGTGCAGTGAAGACTCTTCAGTAAACACTGAAATGAAATGGGGTTTCACGTCCTACTTTTGTGCACCGACTGGGATAATGAAGATAGGCATACGCCATAAACTTACTGTGCTATGTGGGTTATTTTGCCCGGACAACGACACCACAGCTAATCGTATTTCAAATTCCAACTGCCAAGGGTTCTTTTACGTACATGCCAATGTGTAAACTAAAGTTTGGTTTTTGGCCCACCCTAACGAATAGACACGTCCGACCCCACGCCCTTCACCAATGACAAGCACAAACCACGTCGGAAAATCCCGAGGAACTTTCTCGGCTAACACCCGGAGCGGGCCCGAAATCCCCTGCTCTTACTGAGCCACTGCGACTTCCTCTTTTAAAAGAATCAGAGTTTAATTGAGTAAAAGGTTATAGAATTAAACATGCCTGATAGATGCCTGAGCTCAAATGTATCCTTCAATATAGGGCTTACATTGATATTTGGACGTTTAAATACTACGGATTATTTTATAATGGTATCTGCCAAACTATGTGTGTCTGTGTGATTATAATAATTCTAACAATGGACCTATTTGGTTTGACAAGCGCTATAACAATGAATTCAGTCCATACATGTATAGGTCGATCTGCTACAAATAAATTAAGATTAAACGTTATTATACACGAGTTATTTTTCTTCCCAGTGGCTACAAGGATGAAAGTCAGAGTTCACACAAAAATAGCTGAAATGAAATGAAATGAAATGGGGTTTAACGTCCTACTGTTCTGCTCCTATACTGAGCTAATGAAGACGGGCATACGCCGCACTCTTATATCGAATTCCAACTGCCAGGGGATCTTTTACGTGCATTCCAATATATACACGGGACCTCGGTTTTTCGTACAAAAATAGCTATTATTGTATCCAATAGAATGACACTTGGCACAAGAAATGTTCAAATTACAAAGTACAGTCTTAAAATATGTGATCGACTTGGAATGTCGGTAGACTTCGGGTGGATTTGGGCAAATCCTCCTTCCTGTGAAAGTGTAAAATTGCAGTTCCTGGGCCAGAAGACTGAGAGCGTGGGGTTTGCAAACAAGAAGTCTAGGATTTTTGAACGTGAAATAGAGGGACGAGACAATCACGAGTTGAGGAAATCAATCGGGTGCTCTGGTTCAATATCACCGACTTAAGGCACTGTTTCCTGCCGTTGCCGCGTTGAATAAACACTATCATCTGTTACCCTTGTCAGTAAATCCGTGAACCTATCTTGGAAATAGAAACGTCGTATTCAGAGCTTTTGAGAGGTTTGTTTGTAATTAGGATTCTGCAGGAATTCTTTATAAACTTCAAACATTAGAACCGAGATAAACAATCAGGTGAACAAGCTTCTGTTTTCTTGTCTCGCTATCTGTTTTTGGTACAGGCCTGTATGTCACAAATCAATATTCGTTACTGAAGTACTAATTATAGCACTAATGATAACAAACAATAGATAAATAAATCTTTATTTAAATAACATCAAATTAACGTTAACGCATATTTGATTGAAACAGGTTTAATAAATATCAACATATAATATTAACAATTATATAAATTACACATTTAATCACAATAACATCTTTGGCAATAAGGGAGTCCACTCATGGTCGTACCGAGCTGGGGCAACGGACGGCTAGGCAGTAGAAATTTTGTTTCTCTTGATGGCAGTTTCGTTGCGAAACTGAAAAGGCAGCACATGAGAGGAGCTGAGAGCATGAGTATAAGGCAGTTGTAAGTAGGACAACTGCGGAATCTGAGTAGGAGTTGATTTCGGGGCCATGGTTGCTATAGGATTTTAACTTCGGATGAAGAAAGCTCGGGTTGTAAATTTTGTCAGATAAAACTATGAGCCAAAGTGTTAAGATAATTATGATATATTTTTGAGGGAAAAAGAATTAAGCTACGGCTTAATTAAATGCCAAATGGAATTGCAGGTTGATGAGGGAACACGAGTGAACCCTAAGACCTGTAATGAAAGCTCCCAAAAATAGTTGTAGAGATAATTTACTACATATAAAGTATCCTTAAATAAATTAACTTTTACTGACTACTGAATACAGATGAGAATAATCGTGGTCTGACCCTGAAAAATTATACACCAGTTACATAAGCCCATTTTCTCTTGTGTATCTATAGACTTGGCATCTGTTCTAATGTATTTCTGGAAGCATTCAGATGACCATCTCCCCCATAGGTTTGGTGAGGTGGTTTGGCACTTGGGCTCTGGCCGCTGTGGCGCTGTCATGGCCGCTGCTATTCTGAAGCTGTGCCCATTATATTCATTTGATTGAAAACCCAAGTTGTTAAGAGCTTCCTTTAAAATATTTATAAATAAAGACCTGCCTAGGCCCGTACCTTGCTGCTAACAAATGGAGGATCCTCGCTTAATGCGCCACTGCTGTTTCTAAGAATTAAATAATTCTGCATAATAGCTACTGGGCATAATTGTGGCGAGTTTCTAACTCGGTTAATAGATATAGTCACCCCTTGTCTGAAGACTCAAAATTATCTAATGACATAAAATTCACGTCTGACATTGATATGTTAATATGGGGGTCAATAGGTACAAGTTCCATGAAAGCGATGTACATGTCATTCTGTTCTAAAAAAAAAAGATCGTTAGGCCACGCACAAGAAAACCAACTCCGACTGAAATAACCACCATATCCTTTACTGCCACTAGCATCTGTGTATAGATCTATATCGGCCGATTCTACAATAAATAGGTCATGGAAAAAAACGATTTGGCATTCCAGAGTTCTAAAAAGTCTATCACGTCGACAAACCACATTAAGGTATATGTGATGGTGCAACTCCTTAACCACTGATACTAAAGACAATAGGTATAAGACAAAGCTTCTTCCTGGTATAACGCTTAGATGCCCGAGTAGGCTAAGCAGCTCTCTTTTCGTGACCTTATTAAGTGAGGAAAATGATTTCAGGATGCACAAAATTTATTCCACCTTGTCTTAAAAGGGATACGGAAGCTTTCATCCTAATGCTATCAAGGTCTATACCTAGAAAAAGTCATAGCAGGTTCCATGGTTTTGTTGGGATGTATAGGGATATCTAGACTCCTAAACCATTTTTCAATGTTTGTACAGGTTTTGCACCATATGATGACGTACTACTAATTAACAGAAAATCATCAAGCAAATACAAAAGATATACTAGGCCATAATTAACGGTGTATGGCTTGGAAAGGAGAGAAAATATTTTTGGACTACTGCGTGATCCAAAACACAACCTCATAAAGAAATAGTATTGTCCTTCCCACATCACACCATGATAGGCCCACAAGTCAGGTGATATAGGGAGCGGCTTAAAGGCATCTACAATGTCTGTTTTGTTGAGTATGACCCCTCTTCCATACTCGTTCATGCAAGAATGTTCAGGTTGATTCCTGGCTGACAAGAGATTTTTACACACATAACGTTTTGAGGGGAGGGAGGTAAATCCTGTGTCAAAACCATGCTTCAGACCATTTATGATCACAGCAGTAAAATGTTTATCAGGGTGGTTCTGTGATTCCAATTCCAGAGCAGCAATGTTGATAGGGGTAGTCGCCTTAAAGATATAATTTGTTCCGGGAATTCGGGATACATATTGTTTAAAATTCGTACTCAAGGTTATGTAGTTATGGACAAAAATCAACTGTAAGCTTTAGTTTTAACATTTATTCTGCGTCTTTATTTCTTACACAAACGTTGGTTGAGTGGTTGCTGGAACGACATCTGCTGCATATATATATATGTAACATTTTAGTGAAGTTAACATGAGTGAATGAGCATCGAACAGAATTAAAATTGTTACAAATTTCTTTCCCGTTATGAAAAAGTCTGGATCTACCATGTTTATGAAATTTTGAAGTTGGTCTTCTAAATTTTTCGTTGGTACCATAGCCGCTCTACGGAGTATTGGAAAAAGTTGAGTTAGATACGACTAGGGGACAGAAGCCAGGTACATGCGGGGAACTCTGACCGCGATCACAGGACATGCTCTTGATACAAGCAAAAAGCCTCAAGAGAAAGCCTTGTTGTACTCGTAGAAATGGGAACTACCAAACTGCAGGAATAGACTATCAATAAGGCCCGCATACCCGTCTAGTTCTTTTCTGCGCTCTGGTTCTTTCTCACATATGACATTCTTATAACGCGAGAAAGCCAATCTGAATTCGTTGATGGTGAGATTCCTATGAAGTCTAGGGTCATTAGACTTCACCACGACTTGATTTCCAGCTTGGTCTATAATTTTTGTTCCACCATCAGTCTCCATCCCTTGCACTAGTAGCAACGCTAAATTAACATGTTTATGGGCATAATTGACTTTTCTCGCGTTCTGTGGGACAATATTTACATCTGGTAAATTGTTTATCGGAATTTTCTTAACATCAGTTGCCATACCTGTAAAAGGGGCGAGATGATTATCTACCACCGCTTCGGTGTAGCAGACGACAGGAACGAGAACGAGTCAACAAATACGAACGAGGCTCTAGTGCCCTAATTCGATAAAACTACGGAAGTCCTAAGTGGTAACTCTACTATCCTAAGACATCACGAAGAGTGGAATGGGTCTTAATTTAGTTATATAAAATATAGTTAATAATAACTCAAACTCAATTTTCAGTGTAAGTAAATCTGTTGATAATTATGCAACATTTCTTAGTTTCAATTTCAATTTCTGGGAAAACTATTTTAATTACGAGGTCGTATAATATGGCAGATTGTTGTAGCAATATTGCTAGAATTTTTGCTCTTGAAATTAATGATGGCATTATATTGTATTAATTAGTATCTTTGGAAAGTTATTAGATTCACATGTACTTAAATCAAGTTAGCGAATGAGTGGCATACAGTCACATTCTTCAGTAAATTTCCACTATCCATAATAAGGTTGGGTTTCGACGTCTTTTGGTTCCAATAACGAATCTCTCTGATTATTCACATCATATTTGACCAATTAGATAATTGAAGGTCCAAAACCCAAAGCTACAAAACTATCGCACATTTGAGAATTCGTAGGACAGCAGACAGATTCTAGAAGAGAAAAGATGTAGCAATTTTTATCAGCAGACTCACCAAGCGAGTCTGACTGGCTAGGGCTTGGGAATGACTTTAGTATTGTAATCTATACTATGCTTGTAACGAATGAGTGGCATATTGTTACATAAAAAAGAGTCATAATGTGGTACACATTCAATTCGAGGTTGATAACAGATATCTTGTGGGAAATTTCTCCAGTAAATTTTCACTAACCATATATGGCTAGGGTTTGAGAATGACTTTAGTATTGTAATCTTTACTTTGCTTGTATCTATGTATAATAATAATAATAATAATAAAAACTTTATTTAATGAGGCAACGTATTTAGTTTGCAAAAAAAAAACTAATCTTCCATAGGTCCCTCCTAAACTACAAAGACATATATACATGTAATATCAGGATAGATTTAAAATCATTAGAAATGCAATAGCATTTTAAAGTGGGAAGTTTGATAAGTCACTCCCAAACTACAAAACATATACATTATACAAGTAGAATATAGGAAGAACACTATAATTACACACAAAATAAAATAGAGTGCAGTTGCAAGTTAAAAATAATAAGTATGTCATCAGTTGAATATTATGG